TCGGGAAAATGTAAACAAGTAACCAAAAATGGACCCGCATAAGCAGTAAGTCTATAAACACACGCCAACAGTTGTGGGTGTGTTCCTGAGACTCCTGGTAGACAATCGCCAGATCCAGGCACGAGTATTGGCCTAAACAGAATTAGACGTGCAAAATTTGATGCACAAAAGACCTAGGAAATTCGGTTGGAGGGAAAACTTTTGCCGGGTAAGTGCCATCGGCTGCACGATACAAAGGCACGTAAAGACTGTTGAAAAGAAGCTAAAATGAGTTTTATACAAGGCAGTGTTAAGAACACCCAAAGTACCTTGATCTCCTTTTTAATGTCTTCTTTTGATTCTTTTCCCGTATACCGAGAGCACAAGATTGAGTCATCCAATAGCATCGGAATGTTAAGGTTAAGCCTAAATAAACCGTTTAACAATAGTTCTTCTTGAAATGTACCTGGGACGAATTGCATCACAAACAGGCAATTTTGTGAACTCCGTTATTGCTTTCACAACAGATGTGTGTCCAAACTTCAATGCTATTACTAAAGGTGTTCCAATGTTTCCTTTGTCTGGCGTGCATAAAAATCCGGTCATAATGTTTTCTCTAAGCACAATTGTATAAACGACAATACAAAGGCATCACCTTCTTATCAAAGCGTCGGCGTCATTTGTTCCATAAAGCCGTACCAGAAATTTAATGTCAGAAGTTAATAGGAGCGTTTTGGCAACTATCTCTCCAGCACCGACTCGGGCCCCCACATGTAAAACGTTGTAGCGAAAGCCTTCCTAAAAATTATCACTGTCGTTTTTACTCGAAAAAAAATTAAACCTGAACTATAGCTGGACAATCACCGGAAGTGTTTACCAAAAACCGAGGGTTTTCATCGACAAATCGCATAAAGTCCTCCAAATTTAATTTTTCAATTGTCATTTTGAATCGATTCATTTGAATTCTAAAAGTTACTAGTGTAAAATAAAATTTCAATCCACTAACTTCGTCGGTGCTTGGAAGGGAACAGCTGGATCCGCTCCCGAGAGCCTTGGTGAATTATCTCGAAACGAGGCTTGTCGGCTGTCGAAAAAGTTGATAGCCTCATTAGAATTATCAAAACGCCGAAATCGTGCACCTAAAATTCCACTAGAAGAATATACATATATCACAAAATACCTCTTGTTTTGTACTCCGGAGAATTCGCAAATTTGGCCGCTTCCGTCAGCGAAGAATAGAGACTGCGTGGCGAGTTTTGAACATCATCTGGCAAGAAGACAGCATAAACTGGCTGTCTATTTTCGCAATCTAAAAAGAGAATACAATTTAAGAGTATGGTTTATATTTACTTACTTTCATCTGTGTCCTCTCCTTGCATTTGAAAGATTGCTCCGGCTTGTTTAGATTGCCGTCAACCTATAACATTTTATTGAACACTATACCAAAATTTACAAAAAACAATACAAAACCATATTGATAAAGAAATACAGAAAATTCGCTACATAAAACACAAAATCGTTAGAAACTGTATTTAATCAAAGATTCTATTGATTGAAATTATCGCAGAATCTAGCGAGTTCCACGGGATTTAGCGGCTTCAACCATCTCATCCTGCAATTGCTCCAAAATCTCCAAACGACGATGAGTGATTCCCTCACGATCGAAAGCAAGGGTGGGCTTCTTCCAATAATTGTTGCGAATTCGTTCCCAGTCCCAAGGGGCAGTTTCGTGTGATCGATCGAGCCAAATTTCCATCTTCTCGAATGAGTAGTAAACGACATAGCAGAAGAGGACAAACCAGACGCCGGTTAGGGCAAAAAGTGGGTAGATCTCGTAAGCATGACCAAGTCGACGGACCAAGAATCGGATCGGGGTGTCACCAAGCTTTTGTGGGTTGGCGTAGCGTTTATCTCGGCTCACATCACGTTCGTATTTGAAAAAGCCGGTTTGATTGACCGTGAGCTGCTTGGCGGCCGGCTTGTAGTCAAGTCCATGTCCACCCGAAGCTTGACGAATGATGAGAATGCGTTGGAGGCAAGCTCGCGAGACGAGTCGCGGAGTCAAGGATGAGAGCGACATCTAAAAAAACAAACATTTGTAAAAGTTGTGAAAGAGACGTATAAAATTGCAAGACAAATAGAAATTTCTGGGCAACTTTTCAAGGTTCGCGTTCTATCATGGTTTCAATTATTAAGAAAGGTTTGTTGCCTACTTTTTATTATAACAAAACTTCAACAGGTAAGCTTGATAAAACCTCAATGCCCCGACAGCACAAATAGAAAACGCTCATGAACGAACAGTGAAAGGGGTCGCATATTGAGAATTTGTACTTTGCAATGTTGTGTTGTGCTATTCGAAAGTTTGCGAGCAATTTTAAACAAGAAAGTCAGGGTTTCCAGTCAAAGCTTTAAAAAAGTATTTTAAACCTCAAAAACAACTTCCTAATTTGATTCCAAACTAACAACTTTATTGCCATTTAGCTGTATAGCGAATTTAGCGAATAACAGTAAAAGAAAATTTATTTTTAGGGAAAAAGTCTCCACTTTTCGCTATTTTCTTTTATTCTTTTTACCATTTTTATTTACTTACCACTTTTTTAGGCTAGAAGGCATGCCATTTCTACTGGTGACAGGTTATCCAGCATGCGGGAAATCAACGATTGTCGACAGAATTGCTGAACATTTTCGAGAAAAGGTTCGCGATTTGAAGAATAACACTAAATTATACATTTTTTTATTATAAAGCGCGTCATGTCGATTTTATCCCCAAGAATGTCTTAATCTTTAGGGAAAAGAGGTAAACATCATAAGAGAAGACGACTATCATCTATTCGATCGTTCGGTCTATAATGATGCTACAAAAGTTAGTTTCTTATCCTGTTCTTATGCTAACTTGTGAGCATTCTTTCTGTAAAAAGAATATTGTATACCTATTTCTCATTTTGGTTTAGCTTTAAACCCGTTAATTCCAGGAAAAAGAATTCCGTTCTTATCTACGATCCGAACTGCAGAAAATGATCTCGAAAAAGAATATCGTGATATGTGATGGGCTTAATTATATCAAAGGTTAGTTGTGTTTTTTGGCTCTGAAAAACTTTCTTATAGGGTTCCGTTACGAGCTATTTCTAGTTGGAAAGCTTGCAAAGACAACGTACGCCGTTTTGCAGGTACAATACAATCCTTTATTTTAAATTAATCTTTCCTAGATAGATGGCACTAAAGAAACATGTCGTTATCTAAATGAGCAGAAATCTCCAAACGAAAGGCAAGTTTAATTGAGTCTATGAATGTTTCTTGTTTAAGGTATACAGACGAAAAAATAAATGAGCTGATTTTTCGCTATGAGAAGCCGGATGCCAGACAAAGATGGGACACGCCTTTATATCAAGTTCAGGTAAGTTTACTTTTTAGATCGACTTAATTTTTGTTAGGTTGGACGACTGGAGACAGAAGACCCTACATTCTCGGATGACCTATCGGTAGACTTAGACAGGTTAGGTTGTAGTTTTAGTAAGTTTTCTAAACTTTTTTATAGGTCCGCTCCTAGATATGTTTCTCTTCCACTAACTGATCTGTATGAATGGCTGATCGAGGTAGCCAAATGAGTTTTTATGATGAGTATGTTTTTAGGGTACTGCGCTGAAAGAAAATCAAAGCACGACTACGGTCCCTCTTGCCCCCACAAATTTCTTGCACGAACTGGATAGAACGACGCAAGAAGTTAGTTAATTAATAATAGTTGAATTACTGTTGTTTAAGGTGATTCAATACATTGTCGAAGCTCAACGAACGGCCATTATTGGACAGGAAATTGTGGTAACGCATGCGGAGGACGGTAAAAATAAAGTGATTTTTATAAAGTGATTACCCTTTTAAGGAAATGTTTAGTTACGTTTTACAAAAGTGCGCAGTTTGCCAGAATTGTCTCGACTTCGTCGTCAATTTATATCATTTTCAAAGACGCATCCCATTGAGAAAAAGGAGGTAATCGCTTCTCTTTTTGTCGATTATTTAAACTCACAAGGAACTTAATTGTGATTTAGTTATTTTTTTTGTTTTTAAATCACGGGTAATGTGGTTTGTCTAGTAATAAAAAAAATGTGATTTCCAACGAATGTACAACATCTAATACATACAAAAAAAACTTTGGAAAATACACATCCTTAAATTTTGTGACCTAGAACGATTTTACTTGTCTATCAGCTTGAGTTCAGGATAGTTTAATCCTCGGATTCATAAATATTAAACTGCCTATATGGTGTTTTAAATATATTTGGACCATTTGTATGAATCTTATATACCAATGCTAGCATCTCTCAAAAATGACAGGCAAAGATCAAAAGTTGCACAACATTGGCAGCGTGAAAAAAGATTATGATAATTTTGTGGGTTCAGGATAGGTGTCCTTAAAAAGGGCACCTATCCTGAACACTCTGTATGCACAAAGTTCATTTGAACTTTAGTAATTCAACAAAAAGTTCGGGTATTTAAAAAGATATCTCATGTTGATTTCTGTTCATTCTTTTTTTTTCAGATCGGTAATCTTCTTTTTTCCGGTTTGGAGCAGACGAATAGTGATCGAAACTTTGTGATATTTAGTGAAAACACTTGAGATCACCCCTTTTCTGTTTAAAATTGGGTTCAAGTTACGCACAGACACATTTTGTCTCTTTAATCGGTCCGATTTGGTCTTTGTGTATGATAAGAATTCCGGAAAAATAGCCCTATTTATGCATATTTTTTCAAACGTTGGCATTACCTTAACTGCAACTTCTAACGTGGTTTTTTCATTTTTTGTATCTGGGTAGAATCCGAAAGTCTACTTTGCTGTTTAATAAACAAACACGAAACCAGGGTTACAATGAAAGACGACAACTTTACCATCTTGGCTTCGGCTCTTCTCGGTGCACTTCAAATGGCAATTTTTTTCGGCTTTGATATCATGACTTTCACTGTTGGATCTGTAATGCATTCTGTTCAATCAAGATGTCCCGATTGTCTCATCGACTTTGCTGGATATTATGGGTTTGTCCAAATTAGCTACAATCAATAACCAAAATCAATTTCTAGTCAATGTATCCTTTATATTGTCTACACTTTTTTCGAACCTTATCGCACCGGTGATTCTGGAAAGAACAAGTATTAAGGTGCTTAATTTAAACCTTTCAAGCGAAGGGCTTATGTTTCAGACAACTCTTGTTTTGGGATCAGCCTCGTTTGCGATATTTTGCGGGAGTTTCTTTCTCGTTCGAACATGGATTTACTTCGCTGCTTGTGTAATTGCCGGATTTGGATTTTCTTGTAAGAAAATTTTAATACTAAATTGAATAGGTATTGCATTGTTTTTTATCAAATTTTCAGTATACTATGTGGGTGCAGGAGCGTATTCAGCAAAGCATTCAACACAAGCAAATTTCTCGCGAAATGCGGCCATCACTTGGATGTGTGCCGGATCAACGTGAGTTTTCAAAAATTTCAAAATTAGCTATGTAAAGTGCTTTTTGGAGAAAAGAAGAGGGGAAATCGGGAAGCTGTGCAACTTTACTTTCAATTAGCTGGGTTATTGTAGTCGAAGAGCAAGAATTTTAGAATGATCCCAAATGCTCTCTTCATGATTGTTTCAGCCGAATTCTCAAAATCTCAAGTTGAATCTGGGAATGTGACACAAACCACAGTGAGTATCAGATTAGTTGAAACTCTTGTTTGTCAATTCCAGCAATCAAACGAATACAGAGACTATTCTGATTTCGAAATCCGTATGTTAACAACTGGGACAATTGTGACGGGAATTGGAAGTGTTCTGTTAGCATATTTTCTACCAAATAGAGTCATTCCTGATTCGATTTATTCAAAAAGAAAAGCTGCCGAGAAAACACTCAAAGGACAATTGAGTAATGATTTGAAATCATTTCTAAACCAAACAAAACTTCAGAAACGATCTGGTGGGCTTTATGTCAAAAAGGAATGGTGAAACTGATTCCACTTCACGTTTTCACTGGTCTTTTCGCTGCTTATTGGCTCTCGATCTACACAACAACTATTGCTTTCACTGCTTCATTCTCTGAATATTCCAATCTCATTGCTTACAGTTGCATGGCATTCGCGATTGGCGAAATTCTACGTGAGTTGTAGACTCACGTTGATCGTTGAACTTTGGTGTAATGGTATCTGGTGCACTGATAGTGAGCCCAATATATTTTTAAGCCAATAAGGGATGCACCAGCTACTAGAAAAGTTAACAGTATCAAAGTCTTCGTCTTAAACAAATTTAGTCGGCTTTTGCATCAGTTTCGCGAATCGTCATGTAAAAGACTTTGGTTTATGGCCAGTCCTATTCATTACTTGTTCCTCTTTTATGATATTGGCTATATTATTGGTATTGTTTGTCCCTCCAGAGTCTCCAATGCATCCCACCAATGAGAATTCCTTCTTTGAACCAAGGTTTTCTTTATTACTTTCCCAACTCCCTAACGTTTTCTCAGTGTTGTGATGGCTGTTGTAATGGGTGGATTGAATGGAGTGGTTGATGGGTCGATGAATAATTGTCGGATGGTTGCTTCAGCTAAAGCTCTGCCGTCGCACCCGGCCGTAGCCTTTTCGTTGGCAAAATTCTATCAGGTTTATCTGCTGAGCTGAGCGAAAACTTACAAATCGTGTCTAAACGTTCAAAACTAAAGCTAATCGCGGATTTCAGGCAGCCGCATCAGCGGTATTCTACTATGTGAGCAGTCTATTCACCATTTATCAACTCGTCATCTTGTTGGCAACACCCTTATTGATAGGTAAAACAGATCTATTAACATTGAATAGGTGAATAAGTTTTGAGTATGTTCCTCGCGATTAATAGTTTTTTAAAACGCGCCCCCGAGAAAAAGTAATGTAATCCCGTCGATAAAAAATGCAAAATTCAATATATACAAATTTTACATGCAAATGCCAAAAATAGAGAACAAAATAAGATCGATTGATCGCGAGGAACACAATCTAATGTTTTATTTGTGCAAATCCTTTTAGGTCTTTTCACGTTTTCTTCTCTCATGAAAGACATTCAAGAGGAAGAAAAAGGGAAATTATCCGAGAAGCAGATACCGAAAATTGATGCTTAATTTTTGTATCCATTTCAATAAAAGTTAGGTTCGATTTTAGCTCGAATTTTATTCGACAAATGCAAAACAGAGCTGTGAAATGTTTTTCAAAATTGTAAACTTTCTCTTTTTTTGCTTGTAGTGTCATTTCAAAAGAAAGAGGGGCATAAGTGAGAATAACCACAAATGAATGAGTCGATAGGATTGTTGTGTAGTCGTCGATTCAAATCAACTCTTCTCTTCAATCTTTCCAGGACATTTAAAGTTTTTGCTATGTTTTATAATAACATCACTCACCCATCCAACCACCTTTTTGCAACTTTCAATAATTTCCCTATATAACTTCTAATTTCTTCCTCCCTAGATGTCTTCTCTATGCAATTGCTTCCATCGTCAAGCCAATTACTGCTTTGGCAAACATTCCACTTTCATGGCTATTTTTGGTTTTAACCTTTGCTCTCTGCTATTGATTTTCATCACTTTTTCCAAAATATTCACAACATTTCATAACTCTGTTCCAAAAACGTTTAAAGTATTCAATCGAGAACATTTTAGGCATAAATTGCCGTAAAACGAGTCAAAATCGAGGAGGAAATCAAACCGATTAGAGAGCCCCGTCTCGAGGGAATAACGGGAATAATAGGAGTTGGTGAAGAAGACGACGAAGAAGAGGAAGAGGAAGTGACAATGGTCGACACACCCACTTACTCGTATTCGACGCCACCACAAAAGGTTGCTTTTTTGGGATAACCTGTCTTGAGCGAGTTTGGGGTTTTTTTGACCAATTGACAATTGTTTTTTACAGGTTTATCAATTGGTGAATGTGACCGATAGAGACATGCATGCACCCGATGTCACACTGTCATCTCTACAACAAAGGTCCGATTCATCTACTGTATATATTGTCTCCGATTTAGATTGAGTTTCATAAATTTTCATTAGGATCCTTCTGATATAAATTTTTAACCAAGCTTTTTGTCATTTTAATTGATTTTTACGGCATGTAGGCAAATGAAGAATAAAAAAGTGAAATGGATCATTTCAAGCGCTTCCCTACCCCAAAATGCGCAAGAATCTTAAAAATTAAGTATAATTGCTCAAGATAACAGTAAAAACAGGATCATTAAAGTGTTCATTAGTGCTATTCTACTATCTTCTTATACAGAACCTTTTATAGATTCATTAAAACTAAGAAACACTCAAGATAACAGTAAAAACACGTTATTGTAGCGCTTGAGATTGTTTCAATCCAAATCGGACACAACACATATAAAAGAGCAGTGTTTGTTCGTCCGTTCCTCTGTACGGGCTTTTTTCAGCCGTCTTTGGGCCAAATCTCATATTGACAATGTTAAACGACAAATTTAGTGGTGGACCACGTCGAAAAAGAATAGCCCTTGTTCCAACGACAACCCTTCAAACACTACAATCTGTACAAGTTCGTTTTACAAAATGTTGAGAACGATCAATATTTTACCCGATTTCTAAAAGCTCACTTTTAGTTAACAAATGGAATAAATAATCAAGACCCGTCCGTTTCTGGACGATCATCAATAAGGAATCGCATTGGAGCTGAAGAAATGGTTCTTGATGATGGAATACAAGAGAGCACAATTGTTATCGACTATACACCAACTTGTAAGTTTTTTTTTAACATACACACTACTCCACATAATTATAGCCCCACCTATGGATCTCTCAAAAACTAAGTTTTTGAAAAGGTTTTAGCAAAACTTTCAAAATAGAAAAGGCGTTACATTTCGATACTAAAATTATCATAAACATCGATTTTGCATAGCAAAGCTTATAGAGAAACAAATTCTAATTTTCAAAAAAAATCTTTTTGGCCGATCCACATAATTATAGCTTCACCCCTCAGAAAACGAGTATTTCTTGGGTAAGTGAAAAAGTCCGAAAACGTTTTTTGGTAATTTAATAATCCCGATTCTAAAACTGGAAACCGTTTGTGGCTAGTCCTTACCGTTTTGGAGATCTGGAAACTCGATTTTCTATGGAAAACGGGGTTTTTCGAGGTTTTTGACCCATAACTTTTTCTCGATCCAAAATCCAAAAAAAACCATTGTGATTTCCAGAATCTAGACAAAATTTATGACAAAAAAACTAATTGGGAGTAAGAGAATCAGCGCGGAATCCGATCAGAAAGTGATCGAAAAGAAAAACCTTCCAAAAACAAGTGATTTTTCACTGAAAACAAGCCAAAATTCGATACAACTTTCAGATTCAAATCCTGACTCAACCGTTCGCTTGACGGTAAGACGTAAGTAAAACGGTAAGGGCCAGCCACAAATGGTTTCCAGTTTTAGAATCGGGGTTATTAAATTACCAAAAAACGTTTTTCAACTTCTAAGTCTTCTTCTATCCAAGAAATACTCGTTTTCTGAGGGGTGAAGCTATAATTATGTGGATCGGCCAAAAAGATTTTTTTTGAAAATTAGAATTTTTGTCTTTGTAAGCTTTGCTTTGCAAAATCGGTGTTTATGATAATTTTAGTATCGAAATATAACGTCTTTTCTATTTTGAAAGTTTTGCTAAAACCTTTTCAAAAACTTAGTTTTTGAGAGATCCATAGGTGGGGCTATAATTATGTGGAGCAGTGTAGATGACAGAGATAATATTGTAGATAGTGACAGAGATAATGTAGATTCTAATAATTCATATCAAACTTGCAGACAACGATCCACAGGATATGATCGAGATCGATCCAAATGGATCTCCCGGTCCACAGGATATGATACTTGAGGGTGATTCGCCCGGTATATCAACAATGATTATTGGTGGTCATCAGGTATTACTTATCAATTCATTCTCTAACTTATCACTTTCAGCACATGGTTTCTGGAAGTATTCTTCGACCTCGATCTCCACCTCCAAGTCATATCGATTATGAACAGGTTTGAATACCAAATTCAAAGTAGGTTTAGTTCAGTATTGAAACAAATCCCTTTTGACTCATCTATTTCAGAATGATGCCCAATACAATGATGATCTTCGTTTCCAAACTCTCATTACTTCAAAATTAGTCTTGCTTGATGAGCAGAGTGTAAGCCATCAATCATCATCAAAATTCAATAGAATTTTCAGAAAGCGGTAATGAAGTTCCACATTCAGCGTATTCTATACGAAGCTCGATTTGGACCAGGTTCGGCGAGATTGATTCGTGATGTGAGTTTGATTTGATACTCCCATTAGCTGTTCTTTCAAACTTCCAACATTGTTTGAAAGATTGCCCAACATGAATATGTTATGTCCGATTTTAAAGCCTTTGATCTTCGAAACCATTTGTTACCTAGAAAAGTCATTTCACAAAGAATTCTATTAAATTTTTCGACCAAATCTAGTCACATTAAACACAATTCTAGTTTTGTTTAGCACTTTAGTACCTTAACGGAAGATTTATCTTAAAAATATCGAAATTACGCCCTTTTTATTTATTAATCAAATTTCAAACAATAGTTTATCAAAAACATTACAAAAGAAATGCATTTTTTTTTTGATTTTTAAAGAAACTTGTGCAAAAACTATAATTTTTTTTAGTAATTTAGTGATTCTAATGCAAAAAGATTGTTATTTTAAAAAGGTTTCAAAATCGGAGGTAAAAAATACATTGATCAAGTGAAACTATCTTTTTCAGGAAGATCAAGAGCTCTCAGCCGATGCACACACAGAAGCGACTCAATCTGTTTCTCATGAATTGGTGCCGAATGATTCAAATGATTCCCACTAATTACCCATTCACTTCATTTTGCATTTTCTATTCTCATTTCTTCAGGGCATCTTCCACTTTTCATCGATAGAGTTCAGTGTAAAATAGGAATGCTTGCAGTAAAGAGTATTCAATCCAGTAGTTTCTATTTGACACTAACTTTATCGATCAATCTACCGTATAACAATCGTTTGCTAAATGTACTAATCTATTCAGTTCAATACCCCATCACTCTCACTTCCTCTGGATAAGGATATTTAAAGTGTTTGTGTTTCTTTCATGTTTTGACCTGTACTGAACTTTTCATTTATTTTGATATAAATTTGAAGTGACTATAAAAAGACATAAAGCAACACTTTCTTACAATAAAAAATAGCCTTTAAAACAATGCTTAGCCTAAATTCTAAACAAACTCCAAACTACCGTAGACAAACATTTCAGTAAGCAAAAGCTATTTAGCTATGTGTGGTATAAAGCCAGCGGCGTAAACTGCAAAGCGGTTCATTTTTCTCATTTTGGACTTTTTGCAAAGAAATCCAAAGAAAAATTGAGATAAAGCTACCGTATTTTTGTGTCTATTTTGATCCTAATACTATGCGGTTTCTTTTAATTGAATTTTCTATAGGTCCAAGTCTATAGGTTTTCCAGAAGCTTTGGATTAGCTAATAAGATGATAGTTTAGAGATAAATTTGAACGATATCGATGCATCCTATTTTGATTTTTGATAAGTTGTTGACTTTTGGAATTTCTCATCAGTTTTTTCATCTTGAGTTTCTGATTTTAAAACCAAAACCCAAGTATAAACAATTTGCAATTTTTCTTGTTTCTAGACTCATTGATTCATTGTGTTCCTTGGGTTTGAGGTTGTTATAAATGCCTAAAAGTGATTTTAAAGCAAAAAGGCGTTGTGAAAACCATGAGGAGACGCCGCCCTCAAAGCGACTTTACTATAATCATCGGGGGAAGTCTTTAGAAAAGACCGGACCTTCTTTTTAAGACCCCGTGCAGAGGCGTATGCCAGAAAGCGCACGTTTATGCGCGCACACAGAGGACGAAAAAAATTTCTTGCCTTTTCCCTCTCGTTTGAAAAACAAATTTTTGCTCAGAGTGATCAACGACAACCAATCTCAAAACTTTTTACATTTTGTAAAACGAACTTGTACAGATTGTAGTGTTTGAAGGGTTGTCGTTGGAACAAGGGCTATTCTTTTTCGACGTGGTCCACCACTAAATTTGTCGTTTAACATTGTCAATATGAGATTTGGCCCAAAGACGGCTGAAAAAAGCCCGTACAGAGGAACGGACGAACAAACACTGCTCTTTTATATGTGTTGTGTCCGATTTGGATTGAAACAATCTCAAGCGCTACAATAACGTGTTTTTACTGTTATCTTGAGTGTTTCTTAGTTTTAATGAATCTATAAAAGGTTCTGTATAAGAAGATAGTAGAATAGCACTAATGAACACTTTAATGATCCTGTTTCCACTCAATCTCGAAATCTCCTCATTTTAACCATTTTATGATTTTTGAGTGAAACATTTTTTTTAAGGAAACCACAATGCAAAGCGTGAATAAATAAAATGAATGAGTAAGTAGATAAGAAAAAGCTTTTCCAATGTTTATCTAAAAAATTCAAAATGACGCGACGCTTGTGATAAAAATTTCTGCATTTTTGCAAAGAAAAATCGAAAATTTAAACGCTCTCTGTGGTTTTTAGCTGTCTGCAAGCCCTTTGATGGAAATCAAAGTTTTTCTTTCTTTATTGAGCTGTTTATCATGTGGTATATCAGGTGAATTTAACCATGAAGTTATATCATATAAATTTTACTTTAGTCACTCAAAATCCTAAACAAATGATAATCGATTTGACGGATATTGATTCAACATATGTGATGAATGGAAATCTCATCAACAATCTCGATGTATTGCTTTAAATTTTACAAAAATATCGAACATACCGTATTTCTTCGAATAGAAGACCGGGTAAAGAGTATCATCGCGTACTCCTGCGTAGCAGCCCTTTTAAAAATTTCTTTTCTGCATAAAAGCTTTCAATCAAGTGCTATAGAGCTGGAAAATGACTCAAAAATCTGTTAGCTCGTGTGGTATTTTTGAGCCATGTTCCAGCTCTATAGCGCTTGATTGAAAGCTTTTATACAGAAAAGAAATTTTAAAAAGGGCTGCTACGCAGGAGTACGCGATGATACCCTTTACCCGGTCTTCTATTCGAAGAAATACGGTAACAATAAAATTTGAGAGTGTAATTGTGAGTGGAGGAAATCTCGATGATTTCATTTATGTCATTCCATATTTTGTGAAACAAGAAGACACTAATTTCTTCCTATTCGATGTCAACAACGTGGCGATATCGTAAGATTTTTGTAAATATAATATAATAAACTTTACAACTTTCATAACATTTTTATATGCAATACTTAATGAAGCCATGCTTTCCAGCTCTCTCTCCTTGGTTCCCCTTCAAACTTTTCAACAACATTGCTCGATCGACTTCTCCAAAAACACAAATTTCGATTTTGCTCTCATTTTCAAAAGATTCCCAAAAACTGATGGTTAAAATATTCTTCTTCATTTACTTATCAAAATTTAGAAGATAAAGTGAAAAATTTTGATTTCGACACGATTCCATTGAGAGTGACTGATACAAATGAGTTAGCAGAAGCCTACACAATGAAAGGTTATTTATCAAATGTGATTACCTTTTCATCCTAAAGAATGCTCCCATTTTCAGCCACCAATCGACCCCATCTCTACACTGTATTCAATCCTCTCAATCAGATTTATCAATGGGCTTTCCTGACTCCAAAAACTATAGTAAATTTTAAATATTTTAAGATTAATAAATTATTAAAGTACATCAAATCCCATGTTTTATCCTTTAGTCACCAAACTGTGTCGTTTCTCTTTTTGCTGGCGGTTATCCGAGTGATAAAGGATCGGAAAAATATCGAATCTACGATTTTGAGTCAGTTTATTGGGATTTCACACCCATAAAATCTGTGCCTCACCCAATTCTCATATCTCATATCAATAAAATCTCACCGAATTCAGTGCCAATAACTTGCCCTCATTTTCAAATGGTTTCATGTCCACTTTTGGTTTCACTTTTTTCATCCCATCTCAATGTGAATTTTCGATTCTCATAAATGCAAATGGAGGTAAGTTTGTGGGTGTTTAACTAGACATATTCAGTCAATAAGACTACTTTCAAACTGGGCAAGTCAAAAAAAGAAATTAACTATTAACTAGGGCTTTCGAACATGTTCTCTTCCAGTTTTGCGTTTTCTAAAACGCAAACTTTCGCGAACTACCCTAATCATTCATTCATTTAGCTCCTCCAAATACGGAACTCATGTTCGCGATGCACACAGGAAATGAAGGATTTTTCATGAGTAATGGATATCGACAGATGGATAATTTACAGCAAAATCAGCCTTTCATTTACAATCTTGAACTCTATAATGATGGTAATCATTGAGTTTTTGCAAAAAAATGTTCTGATTTTAGACTGGAACCAAAATCTGACAAAGTTTTTCTTCGAAGTGGTCGATTTCAATGCAGGAGATCTAAATGATACCTCATTTTTCATCAGTTACGGCAACAATGATGATGATATTATGTGAGTTTAATACTCAGCTTTTGAAATAGAGAGATTTCAGGTTAGAGCAATCGATTAGCAATCAGAATTTCAGCAGTCATACAGTCATGGCACAGGTAAGAAAAGGTGGACAATAAGAAAACAAAACCAAGAAAAGTTGAAAGATTTTCAAAAAACTGGACCTAAATCTTTTAACTGTTAAACTTATCCCGATTTTAGTTGAGATACGATGCAATGACCGATCATTCATACGTGTTTGTCCGTTACAAAACTCTTGGAGATGGAACGGATGGTGGGTAAAATGAACAAAACACAGATCTGCTTAAACAGATACTTTTGTACTGGCCGGTAATTTCCGGTAATTTCCGTTCTGCCATCACTTTCCCTGCTTTAGTTGAACAAACCACACCGAAACTTTGTTCTCCAGTGAAACTTTCTTGGCTATGCGTGATATTTCTTCTCTGCTTTGTTAGGATTGAAAATGAATAAAAAAAAAGTTCGTTTTGTTTTGAGCAAACCTAGAGCGCCAAATACTTTATAGAGTACCAGCTGAAAAATTGAAATTGAAAAAACGTTCGATTTTAAACGTATCGAACGTTCGATTAAGAATTTCTCGAGTCAATTGTGTAAAAATGTGAAAGGCTCAATGCGAAATGATGCAAATCTAATTTTTTTTCAGGCATGTACTTGTGTTTTCTTTATTGGTGTTATATTGAATTATCGGCAGGTGAACGGCCTACGCAGTAGTGTTGTTTTCGGGGGGTAGTCAAAACAGCGCCATAATAGAAAACGATCAAAGCAGCGCCGTCAAATTTCTCAAAATCCAAAAAACCAAGCCGGTTCAAGTTTTATATCAAAAAATTCCTTGCGTTCTTGGCTACATGATGGGTGAAACAGTTTTAAAAAAAGTTAAAAAGTTAAAAAAGTTAGTTAAAGTTAAAGGTAATATTTCATAGATAAAAAGAGCATTCAAAATGTGTGTCGAGTGATACTCAGTTGGTTAACTGAATATCTTTAGAGAGCCATTTTGAGTGCTCTTTTTATCTATGAAATATTAACTTTTTTTAAAAACTGTTTCACCCATCATGTAGCCAAGAACGCAAGGAATTTTTTGATATAAAACTTGAACCGGCTTGGTTTTTTGGATTTTGAGAAATTTGACGGCGCTGCTTTGAACGTTTTCTATTATGGCGCTGTTTTGACTACCCCCCTTGTTTTCACTTTGATAGGTGCTAAAGATATCCTGAAAAAAACTTAAAATTTGAGAAAACAGTAAAAACTGATTGAAACTAGTTTACAAAAAGACCTTAATATCAGCGTTTACGCGTTCTACACTCTCCTGTGACTGCGAATGTCGAGGTTTTCCGTGAATCAATTTGCAATAGGTTAAATTATTCCTATTAGCTATCAAAACTAACATTATTAGATATTCAAGCAGATTTACATTGAGCATTTCACATTTTCACATAATTGATTCGATAAATTCTTAGTTGGTGTCCGATTTGAATACATTCTTAATCGAACGTCACATATATAGTAGATTGTGCACTCATCAATAAGTTTGTTGACATTACCATATGACATTTTGGCCTCAAATATCCGAATGCCTTTCAGAAGAACCAACTACAACTTCAGCATCAACTACAGCTTCAGCATCAACACCCTTTCAAACTACTCCCAAATCCACAAAACGATCTCAATATTTTGCTTTGTCAACTCTCGTGTTGTTACTTTTTTTGAAAGACTAAATCTTTTATTATATCAATTCAATCAATAAATTTATCTCCAAAAAGAGATTGTGACGACGAAATTTATCAAATTGGCTCCTTGGAAAAACCAGTGAAGGATGAAATTTCGTTTGGAAATTTCCGCCAAAATCTTCTGCTTCCAAGTGAGATTTTTCCTGGAACAGTTTGAGATTTATTTAGTTCTTGCTATTGCTATGTGTTACCTTTTCGTTGAGTTTTTCTCATTTACAGGTGCTACTACAAGAACCACGCAGCCAACTCCAATAATAAAGACACAAATCAACACAAAAATGCCTGAAAAATCACTTTCTCTTGAGATTTTCAAAAAATAGATAGATTATTCTATTGATCGACCAATTAAACTCACCCAATAGTGGAAACACTTTAGTTTTGGGCACAGAAGTGGCAACAATATCAAGAAGAACAGTCATTGACATGAGACTCGTCAAACCAATCGATAACTAGAGAGAAAAGATGTGTAATTGTTGATCTTTTAGCTTAGGTATCCAATATTTGATTCACTTACTTTCTCAAGTTGTTGTTCAACACGATTTTCATTCCAAAACATTCCGATGATCGAAAGAACTGATAGAGTAGAACATGGCAAAATGATCACATAAATATAGAACTGGGGAACCCTTTTGAGGTGAATGTAGAAGATAACCTAAAAGATATTTTCAACTGCTCGTCTAACTGCTTTTGAGTACAGTACTCAACTGTACCGATTCAAATGGAGTTGACGCTTGAGTGTCCAAAAATGGAGTCATCCTAATCGATGTGGCATGCCATTCTGAGTTACTCTAAATATTATACTTCGAATTAAAAGTTCTCTCTAAACTCAACCGTTCTATTTTCGACATCGAAACTTGCATAAACGCCTGTGGAAGACACCAAATTTACGGGATAAGAGTTAACCATGAAACGAATAGGACAATCCTGGGCATCGAATGGGAAATGCCCTAACTGAAAGTAAGAACTTGAGAAGATAGTTCAAAAAACGATTACATTCAGATTGCAAATCGTCTCCACATAGACTTTTGATACATAGAGAATCGTCCCATTCGCGAATATTTGTACAGTCCTTTTGTAATCTTGAAGTACATCGGTTACTGTGAAGCTGAAATTTTTGGTATTATCGTAATTATCTAACAGAATCTCATGGACTTGCACCGACAGTTTAGTCAGCTTTGGAAAATTGCTTGCAATTAATTTCCTCTTCTTTCTGTGTCTTTCAAAACTCACGAATCAGCGAGCGTATTCTGTGGAAGCCACACTTCGCCCGCATTCACGAAAATGTTATCGATTTGTGAATAATTTGCCGGATCCCAAGTAAGTCGAAGATCAGTCCAAATCTGAACAATTTTTTACGGATGTTATTTTGTCAAATCAAACATTCAAAGATTGTACAAGGAGTGACAAACGTTGAGCCTCTGGATCCTGAAATATAAATTTCTAGGCTGAACTCTTTAAAAACTCACAATGTTCAGAAGTCTGGTGTATGTCAGAATGATATCAACATTAAATCGCGGAACTTTGTACACTAAAAGTTTTCTACTGTTTCTTTACAATTAGTCTCATAATCGGGGGTGGGACAAATGCGACCTTTTTTTTGCGCACCTGGACATTTGCGCACCTTTTTTTTGCTGGAAAAGGCCTTAGGCAAGGCCGTAGAGCTTCGAAAATATTTCGAAAATACTTCCATATAAGGGAATCGTATGCGTAGATTCCGAATTTCGACAAATCAGACCTCGCTGACACGTCAAATTTAGGCTAAAAGGTAAAAACTGCGGAAAAGCGTTAAGTTGCGTAGTTTTTGCCTTTTAGCCCAAATTTGACGTGTCAGCGAGGTCTGATTTGTCGAAATTCGGAATCTACGCATACGATTCCCTTCCGTGAAAACATTCTTGAAGCTCTACGACCTTTCCTAAGGCCTTTTCCAGCAAAAAAAAGGTGCGCAAATGTCCAGGTGCGCAAAAAAAAGGTAGCATTTGTCCCACCCCCTCATAATCTATTTTTCGTAAAGTTCTTCTCAAAACTCTTACCATTATTCGTTTTTGTATACACAGGTGAAAGATTTTTGTTATAATTTTGTTCTTCAAACAAATAATTGTACAATTCCTGCGATTTCGCAAGAAAATCCTTGTATTCAGCTGAAATTTTTTTTGTTTTTTGAAGTTACGGTTAGTTTACCCAATGTTTCATTTGACATTTCTGGCAGATGAGATAAACTTTTAGATATAAATACAAGTAAAATCGACAAAAATAAAAGCATGTGACGTAGTCGACAGAATACGATACTCATTTTATCAGATGATTATAATTACATCTCTTAAAGACTAGGTGCTAGTCTCAGTGCTAGCACAGAGAGCAAATGGGCGAAATTTCTTCAACGGGAGTGGAAATTTGAGTCTTCACATTTTTTCGGTCAATACAAACTCCCTAAAAACGTCGACTCGAATTGTTCACGCATTTCCCCACCCCCGTTTCACATTTTGAGCAAACACAAATTTTTCGTGAGTTAGTCCATCCAGATCAAGTCCTACAGTCTTTCATACGAAGACTCCGACCGATGTCCAGAAAAACAAGTTTCTTAACAAATATTGCAGCAGAAATCATTTATTCTCAAAAGCGTGATCAAAAATGGGCACAAAAGAAGTCTTTTATTGTTAACAATGCATCATGGTGATAAAAAAAATCGATCATCATTCAATAGGAGCGTTTTATGGACGAGTTTCGTTAATGTTGATATGAGTCGGCATCTTGTTCATCTAAAAAAGGTTAATTCTTTTTTCTGATAACTAAAACTCGAACTTACTTCAATAATCAAAGCATCGAGCTGTTTAAGCACATCTTTACGATCGAGTGGGCGCTTATATTCTCCAAGCTAGAAATAAAAACAACTCTAGAAGCCCATGTAGAGAACAAAGCAAGCAGGCAATAAAAACAAGCCATTTTAGCATCTTCTTCATCGGCCATTACATCAAGGCGTTCAAAGTGACGAACTTCTGATTCGGTCTTTCCTTTGGTACAAGCAACGCTAAATATAGATAATTTTGATAATATTTAGGCAAGTTTTTAAAAACGATCTTTTTTGGAATTTTAAAATACAGTCCCTTTTAAATCTACATCAATAAAATAAACTTTTGCTAAAGAGGAGCAAAATCATACTTGCGGCATGTATGAAGACGTTGTGTGTGTGCGTGCATGGGCTTTGATTTCATCGTTGTCTCGCTGCTTTGCTTTTTCTCAAGACCCATCGATTTCATTTTGACGTTGGAATTGCTCTTAGAGGTTCGAGCACAAAAGCGAGATCGAGATTGCGACGATCGAGCAATCCCTTCATTTGATGAAATAACTAAAAATAGTTTTATTAAACTTCGCTTGGCGTTACCTGCAGCACGGCCTGGAAATTGTTGTTTACAACAGCCGGTGATAGTGCGGTTCTTTGAAGCGGAAACCCGAGCCCAACTTCCGCTCTTTTTAAGTGGGCAATCGGCTTTCGAACTAAATAAGAATTATATCTTTAAAAAGCTTATAATAATTACCATCCAAGGAGCAAATTTGAGAATCCAGCATTTGTTTCAAGAAAATCCTGTTCCATCAAACCACCTTCTGGGCGAATGTCAGTAAAAGTCCAAGATCGAGTGAAACGTCCCTGGTAGACAAATGCCGAATAAATCTTAATAGTAAAGTACATATAATCAAAAATATTCGAATAGCAGACCAATTGCTGCTGTGAGTATCGAGGATCGGGTTTCTCAATGTCTAGATGCTGCTTTGCGCTGGGAGAAGTGATAACGTTGATGACTTGCCGTGGACTCTTTGTGTTGTTGACTTTACAATTTTCCGATGCAGCTTGCTAAAATAACAAACGAGAATGCTATTCATATTCACTATCAGTAATCTCCAAAAAACAATGAATGCAAAATTGCGTACCGGCGTAACATTCGACCTTTCCGTTGGCGTCCTTTTTATGTCCTCATCAGAAAATGTCTAAATATACAAATTCAACTTAGAAAGCATACATATTGCGTTAAAAAAATTTCAGAAAATGATCACTCACATTTTCGCGAATTGCCGCGCAAGACTTTGTCCAGCTTTCCATAGAACGCGGAGCCCCACTAATCAGTTCAATCTAAACTCACTCAAAGTCATTGTTAACGAGAAAAGACTAACGTTTGTAATGCTTTGTTTCTGAAGAATGGCATCCGATTGTTTCTTTGGCTGTGTCTGGTCACCGTGGCGGCTCTTCTTTGGAGTAATCTGCAAATCAAGCATTCCAGCCGAATTTTGCTTGTTCACGGGCTAAAACAAACAACATTTAGAATGAAATAGTTAAATGAAATAGTTGAAATAGACCTTTTTAGCCTTGATTATTTCTGGAAGACCTTCATCCTTTTTGACTTTGATGCTCTGCGATTTTAATTTGAAGATACTCGAGCCTTTGGTCGACTTTTGTGAAGCAGTAGGTGTAAGCCTTTGAAAAGTCTGAACAAATAAAACAAATAAAAACGTTTTAAAAGTATAATAAGCCTCACCTTGAGTGGAAGCGACTTTAGAGGAGATTTCTTGATAACAGGAGCTGTAGCAGGCTTTGGCTTTGGAGGCCTAGGAGCAGCAATTGCCTAAAAAAACAAATAAAAAATATTTTGGGATCAAATGCCGAACCTGTTGTTTGGGCGTGACGGCGATCGATTTGGAAGATTTCTTATGCTTTTTGCGAATACACATATTCTAAACATGAAACTTGAAAAAATGCAATAGCTTACTATTAGCTTAACTTTCATCCGTTTTTTATTTTAGAAGCTCCACCTCATATGAGAATTCAGAAAAAAAAACAAGCGCGCGTAAATAAAATAGTTAGGTACCTATAATCCTTTCAAGAAACGACGAACGACGAGTTGGTAAAACGAGTAGAATTGAAAATGACAAAATGCTAGCCTAGAGAAATTTATATTTGAAAATTAAACGTAAAGTTTGCAATATTCAAATTGACTTCAAATATGTAGTGAATTTGAATATTTGACGGTATGTAAATTTTTGAATGCTTCAAAACTTTCTCATTCTCTATTTCTTTTTCTTATTGGCATGGTTTTCTCGGAAGGTGCCAGCCATTTGCTTGAGTTTACTGTAAGTATCATGATGTTTTATGTTTTCTTTCAATGGTTTCATTTTTAGTCAGTCACTTGCAAGAATGCTGCAAAGATGTTCCCTCCACCGAAAGATTCTCCTTTCAAGAAAAATCTCCTGGATGACAAAGTGAGTTAGTCTTTACTCGCTCGTTACAATGTATTTTAGATCTGCTTAATTACTGCCGGAAGTTCGAGGTTGAGTTTGGCGTTGACTCACAACACAATGCTGGAGTGATTCTTGCTGAGCAGTGAGCTTTTTTTATTTTTTTTTGTTATTGCGCTAACTTTAGAAAAGAAGCACCGGTGGAGGTGGCTAGGCAACTCTCCAAAGTTATTGATAAAGAAGTTTGCTTCTTTGAAGTCTTTTATTTGTCTCCCTATAATTGGCGCAGTTCGAATTGATTCCTGTGATGAGACGAGTATTAACGAAGTTTTTGACTACATTCAAAAAAAAGTGAGAACTTGTTTTATTTGTCTTTGATCTTGTTTGAGGATGGAAAGCCATGTAACGTGCTTATTAACCATTGTCCATTTCGGTTCACCATTCCTAGCGAACAAACCACCATTGCAAACATTCAGGTTCATTTTTTGTGTTTAATTGGATACTATATCAATTAGTCATTCAGTGTATCCATATTTGTTTTTAGCTTTCATTTGATGCACTCTCAACATCAGCATTCCTTATGACAAAGTCTATGTATGCCAGAAACGCAAACAGTACTCCATCTACAGTCCTGAATGTGACCACTAATTTTTCACAGTAGCTTGAAAATACTTTGCTCCGCTTAATAAACAATTTAGATGCTCGATTCCGTTCTCGACAGTTTCTTCTATGGCTCTTGCTGATGTTGAGGCAATGACTTGTTCATTAAACAACGGATTTGCAAAGGTAACATTATTTTCCTTCATTGCTTTTTGTTTAGGGTGGACTTCGTGTCAATGCCATTGCACCAAATTCCGCACTAGCTAATGCGAGTTGTTAACTTAATGTTTAACAAGTTGAAAAAATCATTTATTCAGGAGGAGGACTCGGGCAAAGCATACAATCAACAAATCAACGCCAATTTGTCACTTCCGATTGGATGCGAGATTCTTAATAGAAAGACGCATTGTTTCTTTTGTTATGAATTTTCTTTAGATTTTTAGCTCCAGAAAATTTTCTCAAACATGCTATTTTATAACTAGTTTATGTAAATTTATGTGAAAGGGTGCACAAATACATTTATTGTACATAGTAAATAGTTGTCTACCTAGAGTATACGCCATAACAGTTTTGAAAAATTTATTTTTCTAATATTTTTGAAGTTTGGTGTATGTGGGGTGGGACAATGCCTTTTTGCCCTGGACATTTGCACCTTTTTTGGAAAGGCCTGGAAGGTCGTAGAGCTCGAAAATATTTCTATGGGAATCGTATGCGTAGATTCCGATTTCGACAAACAGACCTCGCTGCACGTCAAATTTGGGCTAAAAGGCAAAAACTACGCAACTTAACGCTTTTCCGCAGTTTTTGCCTTTTAGCCCAAATTTGATGTGTCAGCGAGGTCTGATTTGTCGAAATTCGGAATCTACGCATACGATTCCCTTCTATGGAAATATTTTCGAAGCTCTACGACCTTTCCTAAGGCCTTTTCCAAAAAAGGTGTGCAAATGTCCAGGTGCGCAAAAAAAAGGTCGCATTTGTCCCACCCCCGTGTATGTGGGAACGGCTAAATCCTGTGATTTATTAAAGGATATTTTTTTAAACCCTTTCGATATTCTATTATCTTCTTCAAATGCATTTGTGCGACCGACGACTGTAAAGTGTGATCAAGGGAGAGGAATTTTAGCGGGATAAAAAATGGAACAATAACATCTCTTTGTTGTTCTGGGCGATTTGAAGATTTTAATCCTATCACATTTTTTTATTTAGGTAACTATAGATTCTTCCTTTTCTTTAACTGCGTTAAGTTCCAGCTGCAATTGCGAGCTCATAGGGCTAGATGTACGAAAAAATGGGGGTTTGTATTTTAAACTTTGTATTCTCTACCCTGTGTATGTTTTTCGAATGAAATTTTGCAAAATAAATGAGGAATGAGAGCAGTGTCCGCGTGATTCCAAAGAACGTGGCTCAGCTGACGGCAAGTGTCTCACCACACACTCATATTTGGGGGGGGAATCGAATGAGAAAGGAGAAAGGCAAAGAAAGAGCGGGGATTCTTGTGTCTGTCTTTTTCTTTCCTTGTCTGTTCTCTCCACTCATATACTCAATCTCTCCTTATCGAATCTTTTAGTTCTAATTGGCCCAGACACATCCTTTTCCATCCTTCAAACATCCATTTTCTTTCCCATTTTGGGGAAGTCTTTTCCCGATTTTTGAGAAATGGTGGATCGAGAAAGCATACGAGATGAACATCGAAATGATCCACGAGCCAATGAATCGACTGCTCTCCTTGAGCCACAGGTGAACAAAATATTACGTGATTTTTGAAGTTTTTAGAAGTGCATATTTTCACAAAAATTTATTGGCATTTTACGCTGTATCACCATAAAAAATAATTTTAAAGATAAACACAAAAATTCAGAGTAGTTCATCAATTGACCGACCAGAAAAACTGATGGGAGAAGATGATATTGTTTATGTTTTGGAAGATGGAGATCTTGAAGTCAGAGATAGAGCAAATGAAGATATACAAAGTCCACTTCGATCAGTCAATGTAAGTAAAAAAATGAGATTTATCTGGCAATCACAATCACTTTCAAACATTTAGAACGTTTTACAAGAGGCTGAAAATCTTCTCACTGATGGTCCTTTGGAGAAGCCACTCAAATCTAGAACCAGAGTTCTGATGGATGAAGTTGATGTCGAATTTAGGTTGGTTTGTTGATTGAGAGAGAAAAATTGCACAATGTTTACGCATTTACAAAGTATGAAGCCTTTCGGAACTTTGCTTTTAATTGGAATGTCTAGCCAAAAAAAGTTTATCATATCGATTGTCACGTAGATATGCATTGACGAGAAATTTGTTTTGAAACCGTCAGTATAAAGCTGACCTCAAAATTGTTTTCCTTTTAAATTACAATAATTTTAATTTCTATTTCTTCTATTGCTAATTTCAGTCCTGTACAAAAGCACTCAATTCCTGGTCAACCAATTGAAGTGGTTGTTCGACACAGTAAAGTGACAGCAAAAGGAAGAAATGGTGAAAATAGTGATGAAGATGATGATAATGAAGATATGAATGGAACATCGAAAAACACCAATCATACTGAAGCTAAAAGGAAAACATCGAAATTGGGGGTTTTGAGAGAAGGAGGTGAGTGAAAAGATTGATAAAATTACAAATGAGACATCTAGAACAAGAAGAGTTCTATCGACAACGAGACCGAGAAGAAGGACTTGGATCATCAAGGCAAAATACAACGAAAAGTACGCCAAGTGGAGGATGGAAAAAGGTACAAATAAAGTGGACCATTTACGTAGTTAGATTAGTCTAATTTAATTAATAACCAATAAGAATTCCAGGGCCATCGTCGAGCCTTCAGTATGCCGAATGCAAAAGGAGAGAAAATGACTCTTGCTGTCATCCAAGATCACAAACAATCGGTACTGTTTCTACCGAAAATTTCTTTTAATCTCTTAGATTTTAAGCATATTCCTATTTCAGAATGACGGAAATTTGCATTCACGAAAAATTGTCCGATATCGTCTTCATGCAAACAAAGCGATTCATGGAGGAAAACCCATCACAAAGGCCATCTTTTTACCCGAAAAGAATGTGAGCTCAAAATTGAATGTAGCTTTGAAACCTATGTATTTACAACTCATGGCTTTTCAGCCAGATAAACCTATTTAGAACCGTCGAGAAGCTACAGTTCGTTTTGATGAAATCAGAAATGCTGACAGTGACGATGACAATGAGCTAGAGGTTAATGAAAAAACAAATAAGTAAACACAATGTTTAGGTGGAAATTAATGAAGAAGAGATCACTTATCCTGGAGATCTTGGAACAGGAAAAGGTTCAAGAACCGTCATGAAAAGGGTTTGTAATAAAAAAATATAAAAGAGTATTGCGGCTATTTTACAGTTCTGGGAAGCAAGATGGAAAGTTCAAAACTTCGAGATGCTGCCAGATTGGTTGCAAGACAACGAATATCTCAGGTAATAAATACTAGATTATCAAACAACTTTAAACGTTTCAGAACTGGTCATCGTCCTCCATTGGCTTCGTTCAGTTCATGTTTCAAAAGTATTTTTGCTATTCACACAGAAACCGGGAATATCTGGACGCATATGTATGGTAAGTTGAAAAAGATAGGGCTTTTATTCCAGTGTTGCAAATCCATTTCAGGATGTGTTGCTTTTATTGGTATTGCTCTGTGGTTTTTGACAAGACCGGCCGATTCAGTTCAATTTATGGAAAAGGTTATGCCAGACAATGATCCCAATTCAACTCTTTTTAGCTAATTTTTTCGGCTTTCTTTTTTGGAGCAGTGGTTTGTATGGGAATGTCATTCGTTTTTCACACTGTTCAATGTCATTCAGATCATGTCAGCAAATTCTTTAGCAAGTTTGTTGTTTCTCTTTTAAGACTTTAATACTTAAGCACCATTAGATCTATCCAAAGCAATTTAGACTTGATTATACGGGAATTTCTTTGTTGATTGTCGGCTCATTCATTCCATGGATCTACTATGGTTTTTATTGTCGGCCCCAACCGATGATCATCTACATTACAATGATTTCCATTCTTGGGATTGCAGCTATGATTGTTTCTCTTTGGGACAAGTTTGCTGAACCGAAATTCAGGTTTGACTCAAATCCAAAATATAAAGAAACAGTGAATTCAGACCAGTTCGAGCGGGAGTTTTTGTAGCAATGGGTCTCTCATCTATTTTCCCAGCTATTCACTTTTTTGTAACTGATGGTTTTTGGGTTATGTGGAATGAGGTAATCAAAGAAAAGTTCACAAAAGATTTCAAAATATTCAGGCGGGATTGATGTGGTTATTGGTGATGGGATTCTTTTATTTGTTTGGTGCTGCTCTTTATGCCACTCGAATTCCCGAGAGATTCTTCCCGGGAAAGTGTGATTATTGGGTAAATGAATATGAATATTGCAAGCAATTACAAATATTTTAATTACAGTTCCAATCTCATCAACTTTTCCATACATTTGTCGTCCTTGCCGCATTCATTCATTTTCATGGGATCACTGAAGTAGCGATGAAACGATTGGAAAAAGGCAGCTGTGCTGAGCAACTTTTGCAGAGGTTTGAAAATGAATCAGAAAATTTATGAAATAGTCAACGCTACAAATCAATGCTTACAGATTTGTTAAAAAGCATAACGAGTCAAGAAATTGCAGATACGGAGTCGAATCAAATCCAACTTGGTTGGGGACACTTCTCGGGTTGGATCAACCACCAGACACAATTAATTGGACACCGGATCCCAACGATATCATCTTCAAAAATAACACACTATAATTTCTCGTAAAAACTTTGAGAACAAATCTTCTACCTATTTATTACACTTCGTACAATTCCGTTAGTTGTGATTTTTTAACCAGGGTCATTTCCCATGAGCTATTTTATTTCTAGCGAGTCCTCAAAAACATCATTCTCATCATCTTTAGGGTTTTCAAACGCTCTTTAACTCTTCCATGTATTCTAGTCTTTGAACGCTGAAGCATCATTGTTTTTTGAGTGAAAACTTTGTCAATTTTAGATCCACCTTTTCAATTTTTTTGAGCCATAGAATTTCCGGGGTATTTTTAGCTTTTATCATATCTCTTTAACATCAAAAAACTTTGTGCAGTATTCTTCCGGGTTTCTCACGATTAGTATCGCGCTCATCCGTTTTTCTTTTTAGTTTTGAAATAAAGAAGTTGAGAGAAAATTACAATGTTGTGAAACATTGTAACGAAATTAGCATATCAGTGGATAATTCGCATTTGAAAAATTTGAATAAGAGAAACATTTAAAAAGCCTCTTCATATTGAGTTGCTATCATTTTTTCAATTTAACGACTCGGAATGCGGCTTCATTCAAAGCCATACTCGTATGAGACGGAAATTCGCTCTTCTGACGGCAAAAGGTTTATGTTTTTTTTCATTCTTTCGATCATTCAATCAAAAACGCAAAAGTGGTTATGAGAAGCCCGGCTAAAATTGCAAGATTCTAAAAGCTAAAAGCTGTTTCTAAGTTTTTTTGTTTGTTTTAAAGACTTTAAGCTTTTGAATGGTTCTTATGTTTAGTCGTCCCCTGCACATTTCTCAAGTGCGACGTCTTGGTTCCTTGCTACAACTTGCACGCAAAAGTCACGACTTCGATGGTCGCATAGTTTATGCATTTCCGCTTCCTGCTTCATTGGTGCGTTTTCCCTATCGTTTCTTTTTTTCATCCCTAACCTTTACTTTAGGTTGATGTTTTGCTTGCGCTGATTGACAAACAAGCGGTTCTCATTGCAGCGTTGGCCTCGTTCAGCAACTATGATGCATATATTCTTATTGAAAACTTCAAGAAAATGGGCATTCAGCCAGTATGGATGTTCAAGGTTTTATAAAAATAGCAATTAACAATCTTGGTTTTTTAGCTTCTTGATGCCTATTTTACTCGGTGTAGTGATAAGGATTGTGTCGCTTTTTGGAGAGTTGCTAAAGAGTTTAACTACGCGATTGGAGAGAAATTGGTACTTTTCTTGAAAAGGTTTAAGGGTTATTATGTATAATTTTAAAGGTTTTTCGTCGCCTACTCTATACGGTTGTGCCACAAGTCTTATCTAATACGGTTTGGAGTATTTTTGGATGTGTAATATATTTACTTCAGATTCATGAGAGTTTCTTGGATATTTCTGCGGATAATTTAATCGAGCTGCTAAAAGATGACAAATTGAATGTTGATGGAGCTGAATCAAAGGTTGTAAAAGATCTAGGAATTCGCATTAAAAACCATTGGCTTTAGTTAATTGAAGTGATCGATATGTGGGTTCAAGCAGACGTTGAAAATCGTGCGGCTGCCAGGCCACTTTTGCTGTCTTACGTACGAAAGCAAGGCCTTCAAGACATAATAGAAAAGGTAAGCTCTTACTTTGCAAAATATTTTGTAAATTGCATGTATAGACTGTGGACATGTCGCGTGACGAGTCGCTTCTCAACACCACATTGCCGCCTCGGGAGCCCCGTGATAGACTACTCTACATTGGTGGCTGGAATATCCACTCAGCTTCAACCAAGCAATACTTCTTTGAAAAAGTAAGCTTTTTTTCTGAGATGAGTGGTATTTCCTTTGGCTAGTACCTAATTAGTTATTTTTAGTTCTCGAGTGAGTGGCGACTTGCAGCAATTCCAAAACTTCCATTGAAGCTCTGCGGTTTCGTTTCGGTCACACTTGGATCGGTGGGTTTTAGTTTCGTAAAATAGTAACCGTATAAGTTTTTATTCTGGCACGAGTACCTTGTCAACAAGTGTCTAAAAAATGCAATAACAAATATATAACAGCTAATCGAAGTAGAAAATCAGCTATTGAAAGAAAACATCAGCCGCCAAGCGGCCACAAAGACCGCCAGTCTTGTAGACACAACAACTGCTGGCCAGAGCTTCTCCTCTCTGAGCGATGCTCTAAAATGTAATTTATTAATCAGTGCAATAATAAGTTCACGTTATTAAATCAGAAACGAACCATAAGGATTTTCTGGACATCCATTAAAAGTGAAATACTTTGAACGACATTAGAGCTTCCTGTTTGGGATTTCAATCGCTGAAAAAGAATTGGTCGTTTCAATGGTGAAAGTGTTACTTCTACTAATGCTTGCTCATATTTTTTCCGTGCTTTCCGGATGATTTCCGCTCCGCTGTCGCTTACTCCAACGACTAGATTTTTGTTAAAATTGTCGATTAAGCCGGTTTATTGCCTGGTGTAAAGATCACAATGTTTTTGAAAAGCAAATATTCTTCCATCTGTAGATCGATCGACTCAAAGAGTGGAAAAACAATCTCATGCACATAGGCTGCTAATCCTGCATAATATTCGCCGAGCCTAAAGAGCCTTTTCTTTCAGTGATCAATGTTGTTAGCTCACTCTGGGAACATGTTACTTTCCAGATGAACATCGGTGTTAAAGCCAGCTGTCACTCCATTTAGTTTGTTTTTGAATGAGTAATAAAAAGCTTGTAAAAGAGAAACTACCAGATAGCGAGAACTGCCGAAAGTTTTCTGGAAGTTTTTTTTCGTTTGTTATCGATGATAACCGTTTAACTCTATCCTTTTCTTCCAACATCCACAGCTCAGGAGTAGCTCGCAACCAATCGGTCAATTGCAACATTCCTCGGACGAAACATCGCGCCAAAAATCTTTTGGCACTTCTTCTGTTACCGGAGGAAATCGGTCAAAACCTGCCTGTTAAAGTCGAATTTAAACCTAAAACGGGGTTTGAACTTACAGGCACTCTTGGGCAAACCATTGTAGGGTTTATCAATAGCTGATCAAATGAAATATTGATATTGAGATCAAAGTTTAGATCAAGAGGTGTGGAGAAATCATCTTGGAGACAAAATCTGGATACCTATCTCTTATCAGGGATGTAGTCTAGTCATAGTTTAATGGCACGTAGTTAAAGGTGCATTTAGGCAGGTCCGGACTGGGTGCTCAAGCTCTTCGAGGAGTGCCTGAGCTGTTGGGGATGTGCCTGAGCACCGCCAACTAGACTGCACCCCACCCCGATATTCAGGTGCACCCCGATAAGGGATAAGTGTACCAAAATCTGTAGCATTTAACTCTATTGAAAACTGAAAACCTGTACTTTTCAAGTTCTAATAAACTCTCGACTGTAATCTGTCGGTCTTCAACGGTTTCAACTCGGAAAGGACTTGGGCAGACTTCAGCACTAATCTCACAATTCTGAAAAGAATTGGAATAAAATGTAGATCTCGTTTATATTACCCTAACTATATTTTGCGTGTGTTGCTCGACCAATTCATTTGAATCTTCGTCAGTTGTTGAGGAGGCTTTTCCTGGTGAATCTTTTGCAGAATCATTAGCTTTCCTTCTACAATGTTTTCTTCGGCCAGCCACTAAAGCGAAAAAGTAACGAGATTTTCGTACTACGTAATAGAATGCTTACAAAGAGGCTGAAGTCCAGCTGATAAGCATTTTTTATATCGGCATGCAACGCATCTCACTTGAGCTTTCGATGATTCTAAAGTTGCTCTAGATCTATTTCTAAGTAAACTTACTGTGGCAACAGTTGTTATCAAATTTGCATAGCATTCTTTTTTGCGGTATAGAATGTCGTAGGAAAAAAATTCGACAACTTCTGAAAGGGGTATTTGATTAAATCTAATCATCTGGTCATATTTTTTTTCTCGAGCTTCTGTGTATCAACACGTTAATGCGAATAAACTAACCCGCAAGCAATTGATCGATAGATTGGTATTCCAGGCACATTCTCACATACTTTGCACATTTGCACCACTGCCTTCGAGCCTAAATTCAATAGAATTAAGCCAATGTATTATTAACACTTTTCAATGAACCATCATAAGGTTTTTGACCCTATAATTTTCACATGGCTTGAGAAATAAACACAGAGGTTGAGAATTAATTTTGATTTCCCAGTATTTTCTTTTACTATTGGGTAGCTTTGTTTCTCCAAATTGATTGGGTAGTAGAAAAAGTCCATGATAAACTCGAGAGAAATTGTGATGTAATCACCGGAGAAATTTGACAAAGAGCTCACTAGTTCTTTGACTTCCTGGTTCGATTTTGGCTTGTTCGGTAAGAAGTTTTTCAAGATGAAAAATTAAAAGAAATTAGAACTGAATATGGGCTTATTCAGCTTTAATTTTCAAGTTTCAATCAAACTTACTTTGTGGTGAATCCGTTTCCTTGGATCCCTTCCTTGTTGTCAATTGAGATAATAGAATTTCTTTCGCATCTTTGCACGCTTCATCGGTATTTTCCATATAATGAGAGCTAAATTTAGAAACTTGATAGCTTCCAAAGTAGAAGTGAGACAAATAAAGCAAGTAGGTAGGTATCAATTTTGATAAGTTCAATAAAGTTTTGTAGGTTTTATTCTATTCTAGTCCATTCATCATCAAACTGTAAATAAAGTGAAAAGTTGCAAAATAAAGAGAGCACGGAGTAGGGATGGAAAACATAGAGCCTCTTTTTTTAGAGTATTAGCACAAATCTCAAAAATATATGTAGTAGTATTTATTTTTTGTCATGGAGTTGCAAAGTTTGAGAATTTCTTGACTACAACCACGGAGATTGATCCGCGTTTAGCTGTGTTTTTTGCGATTCGATAAGCTTATTAGTAAGGCAAGCCGAGTGATACGTGTCAAAACCAAAGTATAAAAGTACGATGATCTCTGAGGATGGAATGGCCAGGTACCTTTCTTTTTGGAAGCTTCCCCTAGATTAGGAATATTTTTGTAAGTACGAAAATTTCTCTTAATAATATCAAACAAAATTTGGAATTTATTTTTTTAAACTTTGTGATTCATTTGATGAAAAAGTAAAAGATTTGAACAGAGTCAAGAATTTATGATTCATTTGATAAACAATTTTGAACGTTGTTCTTTATAATCCGAAGAAAACAAAATAATCTGGAGATTAATTTTTGTAACTTAAAAAAGGTAAAGAACAGGACTCGTACATACAATGAAAAAGCGCATTTATTTGAAGAGTTCTTAAAGAAAAATGTCCAGAAGAAGTAGTGTATTTAGGTATTAATTCTGTGCAACTAAGAAACAAATTTTCGAAGCTGATAAAGCTGATATTATTTCGAACTTTCAAATGACGCAAACTATTTGGAGGACAAACAGTGGAGTTTGGCTAAAAGAAGTCCGTTCAGAGAAAAGGGATAATGAAATTTTGAGAAATCTTTGAAATTTTAGACTTGAAAAGGCGATAGTTGTTTTGAAAGTGGCAAACTTTACAAAAAGAAATCTACTAAAAAGAGAAACAAAAAGGGGCTGACATGTGATGCTTTTTGTCTTTGCAAATAAGTAAACTAATTAAATTGGTGGGTCGAGAATATTGTACTGAACTGAACAGAGACTGTACCCGTCTAATTGGATATCTTGGCCAAAAATTTCAAGATCAAAGTTGCAAGGTTTATTTGATGCAATGTGTCTTGTTTAAAACTTTGTTTTTCCATGAATGAGAATGAACCTGTGTAATTGACTAGTAAGACAAGCGAAAAGGAGTAGGCGGACATTTCTCATCTTTGATTCTTTCTTTATTGCTTTGCTTTTAATTGACTAACCAGGAAGTGGATGCTTTGGTATTTGAGTATAAAGATAAAAACTGATTTTCCGAAATTGTACAATCTTTTATAACCGTCAATAATTTAGACAATCTACGTTATTGGGGGCTATGCTCGAAAAAAACCAACAAGCACTGTTTACAGTCTTGAAGTAAGTTGCTTCTAAATGTCATTTCTTCGGGTATCATTATCTTATTTAGGTTCGAGCAGATCTTCCTCTGAAGTGGATTCAGCGTGCTTGTCTCAATCAGCGCAGGTAGATTGGGAAAACTGACGTATGAGTGTTTCAAATATAGATTCTCTCACGCTGCTTGTGTGCTTCATGGAGTCATTTACACTGCCGGCGGATTAGAATTTGTTAACAATGGAACTCATGTAAGCATTCATTTTAACTTTTGATTGATTGTGAAAGCTTGTACCGACTAACCATATAGTCTATATTTAGCAAGCTTTACGCCATGTCGAGTGCTACGACCAGCTCAATAACCAATGGAAGACGTTGAGGTAGGCATTTCAAACTATCTAAAAGTATCTTACACAATTATTCTTTTAGGCAAATGCATTCGCCTCGCTCAGAAATGGCTATTGCAGCTGGAAATGGAAGGATTTATGTGGCTGGTGGTCGCAATGATCACGTAAAAAGACTAAATATTGGAAGTTTAATCTTTTGTTTAGGGTGTTATCTTAAGCACCGTCGAAATGTATCACCCGGATAACGATGTATGGATCGATGTGGTTGCATTGCCCGAACCGCGAAAAGGTGAAAATAAATATTTCAAACCTCTTCATGTGACTTTAGCCGCTTCGATGTTTTTTGATGGTCGCTCATTGTTGGTAGCCGGTGGATTTACCGATGCAAACATGGCTACGAAGAAGGTAACAAATCAACATTGCTATGTAACTGTTGAGCTGTAGGTAATTCGCTGGAGTCCGGGTACATTCATTTGGCATGACCATTCAACTTTGAATCTTGGACGGTCGGTTTTAATTTTGGAATTATTTTTGAAGAACTTGTTCATTTAGTGTAAAGATGGCTTCGATTATACACGAAGAGAAAATTTATCTGATTGGTGGCCGGATTTCAGCATCTGATGTTCGGGGTACCTCGGTCGTTGAAGTGTAGGGGTGTTTTTATTTTTATGGATTTGGCTTCTTTAGTTTTGATCGAAAAGAAAATTGTTGGATGTTTGATAGCACGCTTCGTTATCCAAGACAAGGAGGGTTTTTGGTCGTCATTCCTGATAGTGCTGATCTTATTCTTCCTACTTTGAAGTAGGTTTTATGTCTCAGTTTACGGCTGATTTTTGTATGTTTTATAGGAAACCTCGACAGAATTGCCTTCAATCACAGAAGCGATCGCATAGTGTCAACAGTGATGAATCTGCATCAGAAAGCGATATTGAACATCAAAGGGCCAATCATTCATCACAGGTGAACAATTGTTGTCTTTCATTGTTTTTATGCTTCAAATGCTCCCTAATTTTTGTTTTTAGTCGAGCACCTCTGAGACATCAACTGAATGATCAAATCAATATTGAATTTCGGTCTATTAAACAACATTTCTCTTCTTTTTCTCCTACAGTCTAGTCTAAAAATAAAGTATTCTACTATGGTCTGAAATGAGTCAAATTTTATTGACGCAGAGTTTAGCGTCAGGGTTTTGTAATGATGAGTCATTCTTGCATGGGAAACACCGAATCTTTTTTAACTCAAAGGGGAATTCTTTTGGTAGGAATTTTATGAAGTGGCTTATCAGTTGAAGGTTTCTTTGAGGTCAGAAACTTCGTGAACTCTACATATACTTTGATTTTTACAAGGCGTCTATTTAAATTTAGATGAAAAGGTGTAAATGATTTTGATACTGAAGAATAAACGCATCTGATGTATAAATTGGCCGATTGTGTTAAATTTAACTTTTGAAAAGCTGTTGATGTTAAAAAGCGAATAGCTGCTATAAAAGGATAAATGGTTAATTGCAAATAGCCACAAATAACTAAAATGAGTGCTTTAATTGTTGGTTGGTGCTTGATACAGCAACATGCGGAATGAGTAGAATGTTTTTGTCGTCGTTTACGATCTTAACCTCTCTGCTTCTCCACTTCCGGTTTTCTTCTGCCCATATTTTTCGGGAATGAAAAATCAGCATCAAATTTTACCTCTTTTACCTCTCACTCTTTGGTAAATGTTCATTCGACAATTTTCAAGTGACACTGATAAGAGGAACAAATAAAAAATTATTGATTTGCAAAAAAAGAATTTTGATAGTAAGGGTTTCATTTTAACAAAAGTAAAAATGAGTGAGAGTGAACTTTTTTATGACTAGCTAAGTGTGCGTAAGCTTGCTTAATTACCTAATTGGGAACCGGATAGAACTCATAACGGTAAATTTTGACTATTTGAAAATTTGGGTGTACTGTTGTAGCTAGATCAAAAAAAAGAATTTGTAAGAAGCTTGCAAAAGGGTCGATCAATTCTTTCCTGTTGGAATATAATAGGTACGGTGCTTTGTTTAAGTTTAGATTTTCGACCTTCGAAAAATCGCTGAAAATAGACAGGTGAACCGTTCACTTTCAAAAACTTCTCAGAATTTGAATTGATGCTGATCTGGTGATAAATTTCCTTGCCTAAGCGACGGTTTTTCCTTAGGTCTTTCCTACACACAAATTTGTTATTGCGGTGAGTCATCAAAGAACACGCGTCTTTTCATTCGTGCTTCTTCTTTAAATTTTCTTTCATTTTGCCTCTTATCACCAGATTGCACATATAGGGATTCATTTTTGACGAAGTTACCTTCTCTAAAAAGTGACTCTTCAAAAAATGCCGAACAGGGCGGACGAGCAATCAAAAATGTCAACTTTTCTCTCAGATATCCATCCAAATCCTCGCTTTTCTCCTATTCAATATGAGCCACAATTTTTGCACAACAACAATCAATATTTGAGACATTCTTTCGGAGGAAAAGATGCGACGGATGAAATTGCGGAATTGCTTCCGGTAAATTGTAATTCAATGATCACATTGTTGTTTCAATCAATTTCTTTTGGTTTTAAAAATATTTCAGAAGTCAACTAAATAGGCAGTACAAACAAGTATCAAACTGTTGAAACTGTGGTTGAGTTTAGGCCGACCTATGCGATTTCATTTTGGACTCCCAACAAGATAATGATGATGAAGAGGAACGGCTTCTCAATTTGGATCAAGTCTCACATCCCGATTATGCTGATAGTATGACTCCTTTGGTGTCGGCTGAAAACTTTGAAACACCTCATGTTGTTGCTGGATATTATCAACAACCAAACCCAGAACCACATCAGCAATCATCAAGTAAGTAATGATGCTTGCATCACAAGATGAACAGCTTCTGAATCATCTCTTACTTTTAGTAAAGCACAATTTCTTGTTGTTAAATGAAATGTAGAAATGTACATTGACAGTTACAGGCTATGTTGAAATTTCTGAAGCAAACATTCAACTATCAAATCGCGCTGTCGGCGTTCCACCACATGGAGAATTCTACTTGCCGATGACATCAAATAATGATTATGGTTTGTCTCATCTACTATGTATAACAGAACAGTGTCTGTCCGTCTGTACGGGCTTTTTCTCAGCCGTCTTTAGGGCAAAAAAAACTAGCCTAACGGCTCAGGACACTGTTCAGACTATGTGGAAATTTAAAAACCAGCCGACCTATATGAACTTTCAGGATCGGAGGTCCCATCAACATCATTCTCTCCTTTATCTCCAATTCTTACCACTCCATCTACTCCGGAAAACTCTTCTGTTTCCCCAAAAGCTGAAGAAAAGAAAAGGGGACGAAAAGCGATTTATCGTGGAGATCGAAATGAAAAAAATAAGCAGAGCCGTGATCATTCAAGAAATAAACTCAAACAAATACACCAGAATTTTGAGTGGGTTATTTTGATCTAAAAAAACATAAAGTTGAGCTTTGACACAAGAAAAAAGAAATAAAATATGACCATTTCAGGCATTGTGCAGCCAAATTATCAACCCATGTTTTATGGCTGAGAGATTTGACTCAACGTTTGAGTCAACCATTCGAAATGTTCAGGTATGGCGATTGAGCGAAAGTTAAAAGCCATTTGAAGATTTTCATCTAAAATCCCAATTTCAGCACAACTCCACAAGATGCCGAGCGTTCACAAGAAGTTTTGCGTATTGCTGTCGAAATCGAACGTGTCTTTACACAATTGAGGTTAGTTGAAAAGTTTAGTGAAAGTTGTCTGTCTTCATTATTAAACTTGTTTCAAAACTGATATTTGCAGTGATCGACATCGAAAAAATGGTGATCGAACAAAGGTAAAGAAAGTTAACGGCGGAATTGGGAAAACGACTAAAGCTACAGCTCGATCGTCAAGAAGGACAACTGAAGAATGATTCACAAATTGTTCTTTATTTTTCTGCAGTAGAGTGCAAAGTTTTTGCTTTAGATTAGATCTTGTCTTTGGTCTTTGATAAAATACTTTTTTGTTATCTTTTTGTTATTATATCTTCAATAGCTTTATATACAGCTATACAAACATTTGAATTCACATAAAATTTTCTCAAAAACGATTCCTTTCTTCTTTCTCTTCTTTGGAATCTTTTTTGACCTAAACTTTGGTAAAAAAAACATTTCATATAGCTGACAAACGTCTTTTTCACATGTGATTCCAGTTTTGTCAGCTGGACATTGAAGACATTCAACAAGGCCCGAATCATTCACTTGACATTCACCATTGTCTCTGGAAAGTTTAGTTCTGAATGTGCTTTCTGCAACAGATCATACGGTTGTATTGAATAAATCTTTTCGTTTACAATACTTGTTTGTTTGTTTGTGTTTGTGACAAAGATCACTTACGGACAGGGACATGGTGTACAATCAGTTGATGTCCCTGCTCGTGGATCTCCATAATATCCCGGAATACACATCTCACACCGATCCCCATCTGTGTTGTCATCACAATTCTGTCAATACATTCCCTTTCCTTTTTATTTTTTTTCAGTTACCAAACATTTCCCCAATTTACTGCATGTTTCCGAATGTCCATTGCATTCACATTTCTTCTGTGGCTTCTCATTTTCATCTTCTTGCTCACGATTTGTGTCACTTGTTTCCGTATTTGCACAATCTCCAGTTGGAGTTCTTTGGTATCCATCCAAACATCTGAAATTCTTGGGAAAGTTACGATAAGTCTTGGCCTAATTGAATAAAGATAGTCAAAACGAGTCAAAACGAACTGTTCACATTGAATCCCAAAAGTATTTCCTCCACAATTAATGCAAGTGTATGTTGACGGATGACATTCATCTGATTTACCATTACATTCACATGAATAATCGAATCCGATGTAGATTCGCGTACAAATTGGAAGAGAATCTCTGTAAAGGAAACTGTAAATGAGTTTATTCCTTCTGCACTTACACAACAAGTTTCCTACTTCGATCATCTTGAATTTGTTCCCCATGGATAGCCAATTTGGCAGCAAGCTGTTGTTTTGAAGAGTTCCCATGTTGAAGAGCTACATCGATTTCCTGAAGTAAATGATATCTTTTTTTTTGTATCTGAAGGAGTTCACCTCTTCAACATCTTCTCCAAACGTGTGTGCAATAAAACGCCGACAACCATTATCGATCATTTCTCTGGCTGTCTCTCTTGCATCACCCGTTGTTGAATTGTAGAAGTCAAAGATCTAAAAGTATCGTAGTTTTAGAAAAAAAATGAGTCTCACTTTATCATAAACTTGTCCATCTCCAATATTTGGATCTTGTATCATTCCCATAATTTGCATCTTTTGATTTGAATTCAACCATTGAATGATACTGCCCGGTTTGAAATGAACAATTCGGAATACTTTTCGACAGAATTGTCCATAATGCTCTGAAAGGTGTGAATGAAATCATTTTCTTTTCACCTCCACCCCACCAGCATTTGTTCGATCTTTTTCATTTGTCAATTCACCAACAATTTCCGCGAATTTCGCTTCGATTTTCTCAACAGTTGCGCTTTCAGCTAACATTTCCTAAATAAATTCCTAAATAATCTTTACTATTTCTATGGAAATTGCTTCAATTTTGCACATTTTTGCACATTCCACATTTTGCTCCAATTGGTTCATTTCGTGATTTCACAACCTTTCTTCTTACCTTTATCTCTTGGAGATTTTCCTCACCAATCAATTTCCCGAGATTTGTTTTACAGTACTCCTCAAGAGATCTAAATTGTTGATTGGATTCATGCCAAACTTTATGGATTTATAAGTCTTGTAAAATTGCAAAAAAATGACTTCTGAGACTTCTTGCGGATATCTTTTCTTGAGTGATAGAAGATTTGACCGGTTTTGATGAGAATTTCCCATTTTGTTGGATTTGTTCGACGAAATCTTTGCAGTGTCGCTTTCTGGGAAATTTGACTATCAGAGTTCGATATTCTCTGAGTGACAAGTCCTATTTTAAATACCTCTTTAAGTCCCATCCATTCCAACTGTTTTTGTGTCAAATCAATCGGATGTTCGACTTGGTGAGGGATCAATTCGGATGTTGAACTATCTAAAAATATTACAAAGTTTATTCTAGTAAAAGATTGAATCTACCAAGACTTCGTGAGTTTCGAGAGAGTTTCTCTGTTCTTGAGACTCCATCTTGATGATGATTTCGATGAGATCTGAATTAAATAAAGCTGTTACAGGGTGTTCAATAAAAAAAGACTTTCCAACTCAAATTTTTGAAAAGTTTAAGTGGTGTTCTTGGTGTCAAAAGTGTTTTTTTCCCGGCAGGCAAGTTTTTGAACGTTTTTTTGAGAATTTTTGAATTTCACGAGGGGCAATCGAGGAGAAATTCAAAGCTCCCCACGAAAAATAGGCTATTTTAAGCATTTTTTTGTTTTTCACAAGCTTTCCAAAATAAATGATTCAGCGTCATACAAAAAGTCTTTTGAACTTTAAAAAAGCAAACGAGAAGTGAAAATTTAGCGTTAGTAATGGGTGCTATACCTATACAGCTATAGCTATACCTATTGCAGAGACTAAAGCTCACATCGAAGGTATTTACTAAAAAACATCTAAAGATTTGTTGATTTAATTCAATTTCTATTTTCTTTCTTCTCACAAACCTTTTCTCATTTCCATTTTTCTCGGCTTTCCTCAATTGTCGATGTAATTTCTGTAAATGATGGTGTACATGGTTGAGACATGATTCCATTTTTGAATAATCCTCTTCATTTGCTTTTGTGAGAAGATCCATTCTGAAATTGATTTTACTGGAAACACAAAGGTCTAGTTTTATGGGGGAAAACGGTTGTTAGTATCAGATGAGATTCATTGAATTTGTGAATGAATGAATCAGATCTGTTAGAGAATCCAATCCAGAACGTCAATTCTTCCATATTTTCTTCAATAAATCACCTTAATGCATTCCAATGTCTCCTCAAATTTTTCCCCATTATTCTCGTCAAATCTTCTTCGGTAAATCGACTTTTCGGTGAGCATCGATTCAACTCAAAAAATAGTTTAGCACATTTAAAAATCAATATCATTACCTCATTAGCAATGAGCTTTTTGCTGTGAATGAGCAATTGTTTTGGATCATCCGAGTTTCGCTGAAAAGTAAAAATTGATGAAAGCGATGAAAAGACTTGCCCAAAATCCATATCCAGTCGACTGAAAGGCCAAAAAGATAAGCAATAACTTTAGTGTCATCTCATCAAATAAAAAAAAGAAAGAAAGCCAATAGCTCGATAGATAAGATGATTGTCCTTTTGTTCAATCGCCTTTACTATCCAAAATGAGGTGATCTTTTTGGGGGATTTCTCGAGAGTGGCACGCGTCTTGTCCCCCCAAAAAAGGAGAGATCAATATGACAGAAAAAAGTAATCAAAACTCTTTTGTCGGTCAGATTTTGATTGAAGGGGGAAAAGATTGGAGAAACGAGAAAGAAAGGGGCGGACAACGAATGTGTGTATCGCTGTCTGTCCATTCATTCATTCATTCATTCATTATCTCATTCTCATTTCACTTCATGCGTGTCTGTCCACACGTGCCGTGCCCCCTTTCTTTTCCCATTTTTTCTTTTTTTCAAATATTTTCAAATCACTGCCAATTACTTCTTGAGAAAGGATCCCATTTTGAGATAAGGGGATAAGCTGAAAAGCAAAGAGTTTTGTGTGGATTTTCGTGGAAACTATTCAGAATTTCTTGATTCCGAGAGAACTGTCACAAAGGTCATTTGAACAAACATTGAAGTTTGAATTTCTTTTATGGGAATTTGAAAAATTCTCGAAGCTTTTATCGAAGGAATTTTGGTGCTTGGTTCCACCGGGCAGATGGAAAATGGGAAATTGATTGGAAGGGGAGAAGAATTTGAAAGGTTGAGAATAGGGTTACAATCGGGAAAGAGAATATTCAACATATTTCTAGTTGTTAGCTTTCTAGTTGTTAGGTTGAAGTTGAAGGTTTTAATCTAGAGAAATATAGATCACACAAGATGTTAAATACGTCTTTTCATTTATTATTAGCTCTTCGATTACAACAAACACAGATTACTGTAGAAAAAAAGTTAGCATAAATGAAAATTTGCATGCAATTCGTTGAACAACTGAAGAAATGCTCTTTTTATACAGAATGGATTTGGACCAAGTGGGTTTTGGTGATATTCTTTTTTGGATGCCTTTCTGTGTCTCCTTTAGACGATACTTTGGTTCGACGAATCTATGGGATCTTATATAAAAGAAACATTGAAAGCTCTCATCAAATTAACGATTCAATTGTAATTGAAAGGAAATCAAAATGCAATTAGTTATCCTATTTACTTTGCTCCCCTAATTCCCCTCTTTCAGCTTATGTCGATTTTTGTGATCGCTTCATTGAATATCGTCCTCGGAATCATTCTTTTATGTCTTCTCGGCGGAACAGGAAGTCAATATTCTTAATTTCATTCATTAATTCAAATCCTTTTTCTTTCGAATTCTATCGCCAGATATCGATCCATCACTTCAAAGAATCCAATTTTACAAGTTCTTTTTCCCGTTCGGTTCGCGTGGAAAAGAAATTTTCAAACAAATTGAAAATAAGTTAGGATTTGGCTTTATTGTCTCCGATACTATTGGGTTGGTGAATTGAAAACTGCTGGACTTTGAACTAAAATTTATTCAACATAAAACCATAAATTCATTCTAAATAATTTCCATTATTCTTGACGACTTCTGCCCATTTTACAGGCAATTTGCGGATTCCTCTTTCGTAGTAGGATTTTGGTTTTGAATTGAAAAACTTTCAAAGCCAATTTTTGACTGCTTCTTCCGAATCGAAGTGTTCTCCCGCAAGCTCATTACTCGTGATCCGGAATAAATAGTAATCAAAAGGGGCGAGGTCCGGACTGTATGGGGAATGTTCTCAAACAAGGCTCTCAAACAAGTTCTCAAACAAGGCTATTTATTTTAGAGCTAGTCAGTTTTGCAACATGAGGGGATGAGAACGATCTTTGACTTGGAGGGTCTATTCTTCTTCAGGGATTCATTCACCTTTCCCAACTGTTCACTGCATTTGATTGCATTAACGGTCGTCTTGCTATCCAGCAACTCCGAGTACGCCACTCCCTCCATATCCCAGAAAACGCAGAGCATAAACTTCTTCTGGTGCAAATCGGGCTTAGGGTCACTTTCGGGTTTCTCACCTGGCCCCACCCATTGCCGCTTCCTCCGAAAGTTCACAGATAAAACCCATTTCCTATCTCCTGTCACAATTCGAGAAAGAAAAGATTTCCTTTTGTATTGTGAGAGATGGACGGCACTGATCGAGACTACCACTTCTGGGGGTTATTGAGGTCATGGGGCACCCGCGCCCCAAGTTTCGATTTAAATCCAAGCGTATGAAGGTGCCATAGCACTGTAGCATGATCAACCCCTAACTCTTCTCCCAATTCACGCGATGATACCCGATGGTCGTTGGTAATGAGTTCGACTAATTTGGAATCATCCAGTTGGGGTGCCGCTCCACGGCCCTCTGCATCTTTCAAAGATTTGTCTCCAGATCAAAACTTGGCAAACCATACTCGACACGTTCTTTCGGAAGGTGAGTCCTCCCCATATATCTTTTTAATATTAGCAGCTGCCAAGCCTGCACTGTGCTCTTGTAGGAACTCATGAAGCATTACATGACACCGTCCCGGTGGCAGATTGTCGAGTGCAATAGAAGAAGTGAAAAAAATACCAAAAAATAAAAAGCTGGAAGCATAATCTTTTCGCAATAATTTGAGGAAATGTTGAAGTAACCAAACCCCCTTTCAGTTCAATGCTGTTGTTTTTTTATCTGCGAGTCCCGTGAAATAGCCTCTGGGCATGTCATACTATTAGGAAAAATACGGTAGTTTGACCTTTGTTTACTTTAGTGTAAGTAAGCTATTTCCATTTCTTTTCAGACAACCAAAACACCGAATGCCAGTCGATATCAAAAGATTAAAAAAAAACTGACAAACCAATTTAAGCGGATAACGAATAACGACAAACGACATTTTAAACGAAAAAGGAAAACAAGTTGATCTGACATTCGATAAAGTAAAGGCTAGTTAGGTTAAAATAAAGGGGTTGATTCTGAAATTTTATTTATATGTCACACTATTATTGCTCCAATTTTTCACTTTGCTTTAAGAAGATCTCGAACTTGTCTTATAATGTAAACTGCATTCGAAACAATCATTTGTTTTGCCGCTTCCCATTCCGATTCTGAAAGATATTTAACTGAGTTACTGGTTTTCTTTTACCTGGAAGTCCTTTTCGTTTATCGGATTCAGCATTGAATGGGTGGTATGAAATAACAAGGAGAGCACAAGGTGGAAGACATTCATTGAAAGACGATAATAGCTGGAAAACAGATTGCTTACCGTAATGTTCTGATGTTTTGCGTGTGACTTTTTTTTCCTACCAGTTCTTAACACATTTGCGACGATACCCTTCCCTTTTCCCTTGTTTCCCTACTCACCTCATCATATGTGTACGGTGCTTTTTCTTCGCCCAAATGATGCTCCAATCGACTGTAATAATACTTCAACAAATCCTCCCAATCCGAACTAAAAAAAACTTCTGTTATCGAATATCAAATAGCTAACATCATTTTTTCTTCAAACCTTTTAAAATCATGAGATTTATCAACAGCAAACGTGTACAATTTGGCAAGATCTTCACCTGGATTGCCCATTTTTTGACACTAAATAGTTTGCACTAAAGATTAGGTATTTATTTTCAAACCTGCCAATCCAAAATTGTGCTCAATTCAAATGATTCTTGATTTGTTTCATTGAAAAGAACATTTCCTCGCCAAAAATCGGCATGTACAAACACGGGTGGAAGACCTGAAATTAGTGATAAACTCTAGAAATAGATAAACTCTAGAAATATAATAATTTTCACTACCAAAGTTAACCTTATCAAAGCTACAGTAGCCTTTGTTTAAACTTTACCAACCAAGTCTTTTGTTGACAGAAAGGAGTTGTTCGGCGTTGACCAGATCTTTTTCGATTGCAAAATGTCGAATCTCTTCAAAGAGTTCCTTTTCTTCAGGAATATACGCAATCAATCGGTCTATCGAGACACCAAAACTCTAGAATATTACCCAAAAATGTTTCCTATTCATCCTATTTTTATTACCTTTTTGTTGAAATAGATTTGTTGAATGTCCAAAATTGTTTGTGGTACGTTTGAGTGTTCTTTCAGCTCTTCAGGGGAAAGTTTTACTGAAAACTTCGAAGGTTAGGTTTTAAGTAATTCTTAAAACCAAATCAAATAATAATTTACGACCTTATTTTGGATTTCTTGCTCAAAACTTACCACTAATAGCAGCGAGTGCGGCCAAATTGTCGAGCATTTGTTTTGTCGCCTCAAATCCCGCATATTCGTGAGTCATCAGATTTCTTCCCTTCACCATTTCCATCACAGAAAAGCCTTAAGAATATTTGACTGTAGATGAATTAGATATATGTAAAATATATTGAATTTTGCTATTGAATTATTGAATTTCGTCCGATTTAGAACTGGAAATCCGTTCTTGAATCTATTCAATATCGGACTTTCGATTTAGAATCGGACGTCCGTTTTTGAATCCCCCAACCTACACTTAGATTATAAAAAAACAGAAATCGTCAATGATTTTTGCGAGTTAGCAAGTATAATTTCAATTTTTATTCGTAAAACTTTAAATTGATAATTTGAATCATAGCTGACTTGCGTGTTTCGCATTTCTATCTTCTTTTTTTTCTTTATTTAAGTTTTTATCAGTTTGCTTATGTTTATTTTACATTTTCGATCATTTATTACCAATAAATTTTGCAGTTTGATGATGGATGCTCAATGATCAAAAGAAAAAAAATGCGTTAGTTTCGAGGATTTAGTAGTAAAGTTTGGAAATTGTTGAAATATAGGTTGGACGATTCGAAAACGGACGTCCGTTATTGAACAGATTCAATAACAGACGTACCATATAATATTTTGTTAATCAGGTTCAGATTATTCATTGATCGTACACAATTTACCTGATCCCGAATCACCGTCGAACTTTTTCCCACAAACAAATTGCGGCACATTCATGTTTGGGGCCTTTGGCAACAACTCCTCGTAGAAATCGATTTCTCGATTGTGGACCTTAAAGGGCAAAATATTTTGGTGTGAGATACGATAAAAATGGGTATAATGTAATTTGAACGTTTCCTTGATCAAAGAAGAACTCACCATTTTCGTCAAATTCTCTAATGAACCTTGATTCTCATTTGTAAACATTGGACGAAGCTAAAAGTGACTGTTCTTCAGATTTATAGACAAAATTGATCGTAGAATGAATCCTTGCTATACAATCTATTATTAAAGTTTCTCAAACCTTGACACAAGTGGGCAATTTGACGAGAAGTTTCTTCCCATCCCTTTCAAATGTGGCCAACAGAGAAGTGTTACCCTGAATATCCTTTCTTTTTTCATCTTCTTCAATAAAACTCACATCTGGATTTGCTTTTTCTGTCAAATCCTTCTCTTTCAATTGGAAATCTTCACCGAATTTCTTCTTCAACTCATTTTCAATTTCTTCAACGTGTACGTGTGTCTTCAAATAACCATCACCGTCCTCGAATAAAGTTGGCATTTTGGGAGAAGTTCCTGGATTTGTTTTATAAAAAATTAAGAATTAAACCAAAATTGAATTTATAGAAAAAGGTATAAATTCAAAAAACAATTCTGATTCTTAAATATTAGTATTTGCTCTCTGATCAAAACGGAGAAAAAGAGTCCAATGTTGTGCAATCAGTAAAGGGAAAAGAAGAGAAAAAGGGTCGAGAGATAGGAGAAATTTTGGAAAAGAAATGGAAATGCATTTGGAATAAAAGGAAATGACGAAGAATATCGAGTATTTTTTGTGAAATTGCAACGATCACTCAGATAGTTGTGTATTTCGTTGTCAGAAATCATAAAAGAAGAATTGAAAGACCGGTAAAACTTTCTAATCTCGATTACCACATCAAAATTGGGCATTCTGTTTGTTTTCTTTGCGTTTTTTGTATATTGATGGAATGGAGAATGATAGTTTTTATAGAATTTGATGGGAATTTTGGAGATAAAAATCTTCAGAAATGTTTTCGAACATTCAGAAAATGACAAAACAGTTGCAGCTACAGTACAAAACAGTACAGAAGAAGAAATGTAAGAAATGTTTCACACGAACACACAAAACTTTGCGCTCATAATATCACGAGTTCATAACTAAAATCTTTTTTTACTAATTGTAAATATTTTCCTTTGATCAACGCTGCTTACTATCAGTTAGATAGTAAGCAAATAGTAAAGATAGTATTTGTTCAACAGATGGACGGCTCCAAACTTTTGCTTTGCCCAAAAAGTAGGCTGTTTGAACAGCTGGACTTAAATAAAACTTTGAAGAGATTCAATAGATTTTTGAGTGGCCATTCGATGGGAAATTTCAAGTTTTTACTCTAAACTTTCATTCAAATAATATCATATCGTTCACATGTTCATGGGTTTTTGAAACTATGAGGGTTTTGAATCATGTAAACCAAAAATTGTTTCCAAATTTCCAAATGTTTTCCCTTCTTTTATTCTCTTTCCCTTTCAAAAGAGTCTCTCTTCAACTCAAATTGCACTCTCTTTTTTTGTTCTTTCAAATGCAAATTGCTCTCCACACTCGCCATTCCTTTTTTTTTTGCAAAGATTTACGAGTAGATCGAAAAGTACTTTGCCTCGACAAAACATAAAAGATTGAAGTTTTGAAAACTACGTTTCTTCCCATAAATATCTACCACCTCAAGGACTGAGGTTTCATTCAAAAAACATAAAAGACTTATGGGCTAATAAGGTTTGATCCTTGTTCTATAATATTCTATACACAATACCATTTTGTCCATCCACCAATCCATGCATCCATCCATTCATCTGGCCTCTTCTCTCTTTCCTTTTCCCCAGTCAATCTTCTCTTTTCCTTTTCTTTTCATCTTGATATGTGGTGGCTATAAATTTCTCTCTTCTCTTCCATTTTTGGCCTTTCAGAGGAAGAATTTGTTGAATCTACTTCCTTATTTTGAGATTTAAATTTTAAAATTATTCTGAAGTTCTACTTTTTTCTTTGTTTTCTTTGTTCACTACCACATTTCCGTACAAAGAGCCCATTTAACTTGTTTTTTAGCATCTACTAAAATTGAATGGATGATGACCTGCTAGTATCACGATTACCCAAGAGGAGTTTTCTGTCCAACTTACAATTAGCATCAACCTCCACTCCTATCCTTAGCCTTTGTCTAAAATTGAAACACTCATGTTTTCCCTTGGGAATTTCCCTCCATCAGACTGAAAAGAGAAAAGAGTCGATTTGTGTCTTTTCTCTTTTCAATTCAATGACCGATGGACTTATTTCGTCAACTTTCAGATCATCAAAAAAACTTTTAAAGAGTTTAAAGAGGACTTTTCAACCGAACAAATAGTTTTTCTATCAGCTCATCCTTGTTTTCTTATACATATTTTTAAATCCTAGAAGATATTAAGTTTAAGTTAATATGAGCAATAATCACTCTCCAAATATCTAAAACCTACCGTAAATACTGTAATAGTCCCCCACCCCCCTCGTACAGTCGCGTAGTCGCAAAAGTTTTTTAGTATTTCATTTTTTTCAAAGTACCCGTACTTTCAAAAAATGCCTCTTTAGTATCAAAAAATAGCTGAAATTCAGGGCTATTTTTTGATACCTAAGCACGCATTGTAGCATAAACCAGTGTCGAGAAAAACTCGTTCAAAGCTAGACTACTCAACACTCCGCACCGTCATTATGGGGGTGGGGTACTATTACAGTATTTACGGTAGCTACTGCCTAATCAAAAAGCAGAAATTTCTGAAAGATGAGAGAACACTTTTTGGCTTCAAAATGAAAATAAACAGAGAATTTTGTCGGTCAGAAGGGAAAAAGTGAGCAAGTGAAAAGGATCAAAAGTCGATGCTTTTCCCCCAATTCGATCGGCAAAACTTTCTTCTTTTATAATAGTTTTTTTTTGAGAAAAGACTTCTTTAAGATCTGTTAGAAGTGTTTTGTTTACCTACATGTGATCGAATTTCAACCTTTTTCTCTTTCAACTCAACTTGGGTAACTGAGCCGACATCTTTTTTTTTTGCTCGTTTTCTTTTTCTTTAATTGAAAGGTTACCTATTTCCTGTGCACATTTCATATTTCATTTTGCTCTTAATGATTTCATTTTATGGTACTTGAAATTGACTCACGAATTTCCTTTAGTCAAGTCTACAGGGTACCCCAAAATTAACCGAACCAATAAAACTCATGGTTTAAAAACCTTTTCATCGAAAAAAATATATTAAGATTAACAAATTTATTCTCTAGATTGCTTCCAACAATTTAATTTATTTCTTCTCGAAAATATCTTTATGGGCGGCTGCACAAGCGGCCGCTTTGGGAGCCGTTTTGGGAAGCCGTCGATGGTGGCCAAAAGATACGCAAGATCGAGTTTAGCCCAAGCTTTCTGGAGTGATTTTTTCAATGAATCCATGCTAGAACGTGCTTTTGAGCAGATCTTTGCTTCGAGAACACTCCAGACTGAGTAATCGGATTTAAATCGAGGCTTGATGATGGTCACTGCTTAAAGCTGATGAAATCCGGAAAGTTTCGTTCACACCAGTCTTGGACAATTCGGGCTTTGTGGGCAGGCGCCCCATCCTTCTGAAAGCACAAAATTTGGTTTTCGAAGTGGTTCCGAAATTTGCATAATAAACAAAAAGTAGCAAAGATAGTCAACTCAAAAGCGTATAACGGAGGTTGGTTCGGGTAATTTTGGGGCACCCTCTACTGAACATTCGATTTATATCTAAATGATACCTAATTTTGTTAGTTATTTCTCAGATATCCATAGTTACGCACTTGGGCTTTGTCCCACAATTTATTAGACCAATCTCAAGGCTGACTAATCCGGACCTTGACCTAGACTTTGTAAACATAAACATTTTTAAAAACATGGTCTCCCCTCAATTTTGCTTACTCAGAGTTCGGAGTGGTTCAGGAAGTTCAAAGGCTATTGAAGATTGGAGAATAAAAAAAGAGAGATTGATCAGAGAAAGAAAGAGACGGGTTTTTGAGGGAAAAGAGAGGGGAAGGAGAGAGGAGGGAGGATGGGTTTGATAAAGACTCGCTCCCTCATGACTCGGTGATTCGTCATATAAAAGTCAGTGTTTGAGAGGGATGAATGGCAAAAGATGGTGAGGGGAATAGAAGAGATGGTTGTTGGTGTCAGCTGTTATTCCACGCAAAAGGCGGGTCTTCCATTGGGGCTCAAGAGAGGTGTCTTTCATCCCCTCCGCTCCCCCTCCCCCGCTCTCCTCCCCTCCCCTTCCCATTCTTCCCTCTAAAGCCATGTGCTCATTCACTTCCCCTCACCTCACTAAACCTTGAAAGATCATTTGAGTCCCATTTTTGAGTTTTACTTGTTATCTGTTATTTCGCCCCAAATTTTTACTCAAACTTTTCTTTATCCAATTGCCGCTTTTGATCGCTTAACCATTATTTTCTCTTACAAGACAAAATCAGATCTTATTCTTCTTATTCTTATCTTATTCTTATTCTTTTTTCACTTTACCTAAATTAATTATTTTTTAGAATACAAGGGATTGTTTACAAAATCCCTTTGTTTCAAAATGATGCAAAAAGTGAAACCTCTTGATGAGGAGCCAACACAACAACCGTCTACATCAAAGGTTTGTTTCAATTTTGCTCATTATTGGTATAGCCAAGTTTATTAGGATAACGATAAATACTTAACTTTATTTTGTTAGATCTTAATATTTGTACTTTTTCCAGGAATTACAGGCAAAGCACGGATTTTTTCGACGAAAATGGAGAAAGGCTCGATCAGAGATGATTAATGCTTTCCTTGCGAGATATAGAGTGAGATTTAAATGATAAATATCAATACAAAGAATACTTTCAAAACTATAGTATTTTAATAATCTCGATGAATTTTCAGCGTTGTGTCTTCTCGCTAAAGAAATGTCTCCGCGAAAATTCCGAAGCCGATTATCAAAGAAGGAGAAGTCAAGCAAAGTTGACTCCATTACCGGGTGAGTGAGCATGCAATTGAAGACAAGGAAAATATAGCAGACCGGGTAGATCCAGCAAACCACAAGAATTATCAAAAGACACTTGATAAGTTAATTTTCTCAACATTTGACCTATTGAGTCAAAGCCAGATCTTCTTTTCTCTCAATCTTGATCTTTCCACTCTTTTTTGTTTATTCTCTTTACTCATCTTCAGATCAGATTTCTCAACTATTATTTCTGGTCGTCAGCCTATTTTTGGCCATTTTGTGAGGTTGAAAGAACTGAATATCAAATATCTATGCATTAGTCATAGAATAACATTTTCTTTCTTTTCTTTTATCCTAACAGTAGTCACTCTTTTTTGATCTTAGCGCGTCTCGTACACAATTATATGAACGTCAGTTGGTGTTTATCCTCCGTGAATCTCTTGATCTTTTATAGTTTTAGAATGGATACTAAATGGGTGGATGATCTTCGGAGAAAGCTTTATGTATAGTTTTCAAGTAAACACAAACAGCACAAGACTGTCATAAAGACTTTGTGCTATAACAAAGAGTTATAGTAGTGTGTATGGTGCTATAACAAACAGTTATAGCGGTGGGTATGGTGGCCATAGTAAAAAAACTGATAGCTCTTGTACACAAAATCATTTTTTACATTGACTGAAGACTGTTTAAAACTCTAGTTCGACTTCTCATTTAAGTATAGTTGATCTCTTTCACACTCTCAAGCTAAAAATAGCTCTCCTTTTCTTTCTTTTTTTATATAGTGGTAGTGTCTGGGTGTTTGATGGGTCATGAAGAGATCTTTTCAATAAAAGAGAGAAAGGAGTTCCCCTTTTCTTCCTTTAGATCATCTTTCAACATCTCTACACTCTTTCCCCTTGTTCAGTTCTTCTTTTCAAATCAGAAAAGGGATAGATGTGTCTTGTGCATGATCTCCGTCTCCTTTTTTTTTCTTTTTAAGCTTCATGTTACACTCTCGATTTAGACTCGTCCAATGGGTGTAAATTCATGAACGTTTTGGTTCATGATCGATCAAAAAGTAAAGACTGCATTAACTCAAAAGAAGAAACAATAGGCTTATGTTATAAAAAAGTGTGCAATCTAAAATCTTCAAAGTATATTCTAAGACAAAACAAACCAACGCCTAACTATAAGTGCCATCAATTTTGATGACTCAAATTCCCTCTAATTTACATCGTTGTTCTTATTTCCTTCCCACCCACATCCCCATTAAATGAATGACTCATTTCACATGTGGTTTCCTTCCTAAATTGACGCACACATTGAATTGACCAAGACTTACATAATATTAAACTTCTCTGAGAATGTTTTTCTTTCACAATATACTCATCAGAGCATCAACTCTTAGATCTATCGATCATGATAAAAGAAAAGTTTTTGCAATTTCCTTCTCGTGTCCAGCTGTCCCTTCTTGAAAAGAAATCCCATTGGTGATCATTAATTTTAAGGGATTTCAGCAATTGAGTTCTGCAGAGAAAAGATTGGATGAAAAGAAATCAGATCAAAAAAAAGAGGTACTTTCAATGAAAAGGCAAAGAAGGGAATAGAGGGATACGGGCAATGCCATGTGGAAATGTGGAACGATGGGTGCTCATTTGCGTCATCACTTCTTGGGTTGTTAGGGAAGAAAGGGGGAAAGTTCGAAGGGGAAAGATCTCTTTCATCTTTTATTCTTAAAGAAAAGTTTTTGAAGAAAGGTGATACAATGATGTAAACGACAATCACCGGCAATTGATAGTGATCTGATTAAGAGTTTCAATATAGCAAGTTTAAAATCGCTATGCTTTAGCATTTCACAGATATTCTAGTCCCAAAATATACATATCTCTACCAATATATTCTGAGAAAATAGAGCTAAAATTTATTTTTGGAAGTACTCCTAGACGACCTTTAATCTCACCGCCAAATTCAGTTTTTTCAACTTTACTCAAAAACGGTTAAAGATTCTTTTAATTCTGATTTGACAGGCCAAACCGCCGTAGTGATTATATTATGAGACGGAAAGTTTGTCTCTGTCCCTTCATCTCATAACTCGAGTTTCATTGGGAATTTCGGTCTGATTTTTGGGACAATATTCACCAAGAATATTGTTGAACCTGGTCATTCAAAAGTATTCTATGTTTTCTTTGTCTCAGTCAGACTGAGACAGACAGACACAGACACACAGAATTTGTTTGAAAGAATATTCTTGTTGTATTCAATATTCTTGTTGTATTAAATATTCTTGTTGAATATTCCGCTCTTTTTGTTGGCAAATGGCTTGTGACGAGAGAATTCACCATGACAATCTCAGAACGATGAGACTTTCTCTATGATTCCCTCATGTGACGCGGAAATATCGTCGTTAAAGTCTAAGACTTTAGGAAAACAAAAGAAAAAGAAAAGGTTTACACTCATGAAATTTGAGGTGTCTCCGATCAAATTTTGTTTCTGAAAACTGAAAAGAACTGAAAGAGAAAAAGATGAAAGGAAATCGCTTTTTAAAGGAAAAATTGGGGAAGGGGAAGGATCGGAACACAGGAATTGGATGATAAACAATTTAAAGAATAAGAAAGGATTTCGAAAATTGAAACCATTTCTGTGATTCAGATAAGAAGATTCGCCGAGTGACAACAAATCTGAAAAGAACGCCGACAAATGAATTGGAGAAGTTGAGGAAAAAAGGCGATGATTGGACGGCGAATGATTTGTTTCGATTTCAGGTAAAATCATGATTTTATAAATGGTTTACAAAACTGGTTTCACTCAGTTAATACATTACAATATCTTTTTGTTTCAGTACAGCGATCCGGAGGAAGGAACACCCGAAGAAAGACGAATTCTCTGTTTGGAATGGTTGGATCGATTACAGAAAATACAGAAGAAATTCTGTTATTTGGCATGGTTTCTTTGAATCATAAAAATGAAATTATGTTTTTTTTAGGTTTGCTTCTGCAATTCATGCTTGCTATTATCGATTGGCTCCGTTATTGAAAGATGTTGATGAAAGGAAAAAATATTGGGAAGAGGTGAGGAAAGAAGGAAAATCGAGATCTCATATTGTAAAAGAGCCATGTTATACAGAAATCTTTTTAAACAAAAACTTTTTCCAAAACAAAACTCATAATTTTCTAGGTAAAACGTGAGTACGCTGAGATCTTTTTGATGGGAAGACGAATTTGGAGAAGGCCAACACATCCATCAAGATTGAGAGTATTTTATGATCTCGCTATGTTGTGCACAAGATTTGGGGAAGTTCCGGTGAGTCTTCTATCTTCTTTTTTTTAAAATATTGAAATAAATTCTCTCGAGGGAACTCTCTTCAAGAGTTTCTCGATTGATCGAATCAAATTCAATCAAAAGATAAATGGAGTGAGAGAAATTTATCCACCATCCCATCGACAACTGTTACTTCTTTCAATCAAACACTCTTTTGATTCCTTTCCCTTTTCGCATTTTTAGAAGGGCTAAGGTTTTTTTTTGTTATTTTTGGGGAATTCCTTCATTTGAAAGAGGTAAAAAAGATCTCGTGGACCCTTGTTGAAATCTTTTTTGACCCTTCCCCCTTTCCCCAAAAAAGCTTTGGAAAGATTGATCAGTGACAGATACCAGAATTTTCGATTGATGTGCATTCCATCGAAAAAATGAAAGAACAAGGAAATAGGGTGTTCATTTCCTCAACCGGTTTGAAAGAATAAAGGGAACTCCTGGACTATTGATAGACTTACTTATTTATCGGGATGTAACTGATCTCTACAACTTTGATAATAAAAATGAATCGGGGAAGTTGATGAGAATCTCAAAGTTTATCGGAATCTTTTATAGCACATTCTCTCAAAAGAACACTTAAGAAATTGACTCAATTTTTGAGATTTTATTGAATGAGAAAAGGGCCGAACAGTTGTTTTCCTCTCTCTTCGACATTAAAGAGGTGACTTAGAGGGCAAAGCTTTCGTAGAAAATTGTAGAGTTGTAAAACTGAATGAAAATATCAAATTAAAGATGAAACTATTCATATATTTTTCAGCATGATAGGACAATTGTCTGTTTTCGTGATCTTCTCTCTGATCACGACAATTTTGACTTCAAAGTTCTCTCCGAAGTGCAATACGCAAACTCAATCGACAAGGTTTAGAATGAGAAAAACTCATGTGATAACGATTTTACAGGTTGTCCGATTAGAAAATCATGTAATCGATCAATTTTATTCGAGAAGAAGAAGCACGGGAAGTAGATGTAGTAGTGCGAGATCGAGAAGGTTAATATTTTCATGGGAAACATAACAAAAAGAAGAACAATCCATAATTTCCTTTTGTCAATGAAACATTTCAGTTTTCGAAGCGATGCATCTCCAAATCGTGATGGATCCGATCGAGAATCGAGAAGAACTTCGGAATGTATAGAATCATTCAAGGTTTCTTCGAATTCTTCATTGGTTGTGGACTAAAAGAACTAAAAGAAATTAAGTAATAAACAGTAGATAAATGAAGCTGCAAAGCTAATCTTTAAACTTTTCTATTTTTTAGGAATCTCACATGAAAGAGGCTCGTGATCGAGTGAGAGCAAGATCAAACCAAATGAATCGAGATATGAGTACTGAAGATAATGATGATATTGATGCTTTCCCAACATCTCCAATCTCTCCAATCTCTCCAATCTCTTCCATTTCATCACCTCAGCCAGTCACGCAATCATTTCTTTATCCTGATCGACCTCCAATCACTTCAGAACAATCCGAAGAAGAATTATTGGAGATTGTCGATCATAAAGAACAAGAGGTAATTATGAAGAATTGAAAGCTTTTCTCTAAAAGAGAATTTCAGGATTTGAGCCGAGAGACTCTTCCCGATGAATTTGTAATGTTATCACTTGATCCATTACAAGAAGAATCCGAATCATCGGAAGCACAAAAAGTGGCAGAACAGAATGAGAATCAAAGAAAAGAAAGACCAAAAAGCATTCTTGTACCGACAATTATTGTTGAAGGACCTGAAGGATATTATCTCACAAGGAGGGGATCAAGCAGGTCATTATTCAAAAACCTTACAAGGGAAAGGCACCGAGTCAAGCTTGCCTTTTGACTCGAGACCAAGTCCATCTTATAGAGTCGGCCATGGGGATCTTGAATCCGTTTTTAGTTTTTACATAACGCTTCGCAAATGCGAGATATCTAAATTTTGAGCTTCTTATGAGGCCGTCACACGCCCCTAACAAATGCTCTGGTGGTCTGGTGGATAGTCTGCTAGAATACCGAGCCTATTGCACTTTTTGTCTTCAAGTTTGAGTCCCACTCTCGCCAAACTTGTTTGCTTTTTTTTAGAAAAGTGTTTTCCTACTTATTTTCGTGAATAATAGAGTTGAATTTTATGCACCTATATCTTTCAGAAGTGTGGCAACAAATGGGAATTTTTTCATTACTTATCTACTGATTCTGATACTTTGAAAGGTTCTAGCTTTTGTAAATTATTTGTTGAAGTTACAGAGAAGTTCTATGCCAAATATCTTCTCGCGTTCTGCAAAAAATAAAAACGGATTCGAGGTCCCCATAACCGACTCTATAAGATGGACTTGATCTCGAGTCAAAAGGCTAGCTTGACTTGGTGCATTTCTATTAGTCATTGCACTAATAGATTTCAAGCAATCAAAAAAACAAAACTGCCTCATTTATCATCGAAACCAATCCATTTCAGAAGAAATTCGCAAACTTCTCGACCGGCCTCTCCAAAGCAAATTGTTCGTTTTGAAGGAGCTTCATAAAGCCACAATTTCTATGCTTTCAACACTTTTATTTGCCTTTTTTGCTCATCGTCTTCACTCTAATATACATATTTCCTTAATTGCATCATATTGATGTCAGATCTTATATCTTTTTTCCTTTATTTTTGGTCTTTGCGAGCTTTAGACGGAGATTTTATTCATAGAAAGCTTTAATTTTCATTTTGCATATTCTCTTTTTCATTTTGCCATCAATCGATTCGAACCGGTTCTTTCAATCTTCACAAACACTTCAGTGCCCATTTCTTTGCATTATTTCATTTCATTGTGTGCCTTGAACTTTTTTTTTTGCAAAAGAATCAATAAATTTATGAAGAAAAAACAGCATAAAGATGCAATCGATTTTCTTTTTAGTAATCAATGTTTTTTTTATTGAGAAACTCTTCGAATATTCTTTCTATTCATAAAAGATTCCCCTAACAGATCCCCTTCTTTTCTTTATCGAGATCCGTTCCCCTCTTCACCACCGATCCCCTTCAACCATCTTTTATTGTCAATCATAATGGGCTTGTTGGATTCCAACGATTCTTCAAACAAGATTTTTCAAAGAAGTTGCTCCATTTGTCATTTCAAAAAAATGGTCATTTCGTTGTTAATGAAAATTGTCTTGTTTACAAGTATTGTTTATTTGATTAAATCTGAGGATTGCCCAATTGGGTTTAATTTGGCCTCAAAACAAATCCGGAAACGGCCATTTGGATTGTGGAATCGAGGAAATCAGACTAACACGGTGAGCTTTTCAATATGCATACAATTATTAAGGTTTTAAGTTATTCACAGGTTTGTTGAGAAATTTGATCTCAATAAGTTTTGCCTTTTAGGTTATAAAGTAAATCTACGTTTAAATCTTTCATTCTTCACATTTATTCAGAATCCGCGCAAAATTACTCCAGAAAAATGTATTTTCAAGTTCAAGTTAGAGGGGAGAAACTATGCTTTTACCTGTAGTTTTGTACTATAGCATGCTATATTTTTGTCACTATTTACGGTAGCTTTTTCTGAAGCACTCCTTTCCGAAAATCCCTCACCAAAACATCTTCTCCAGGATCGTTCCAATGATGGCAGTTTTGGAGTGAGATTTTGTGCTATTCCAAAGAATATGTCATCAACAATGAGATTGATGATGTGTGATATATTTCGTCTCATTCATGGAGCACGAGAATTGAATCCAGAAACAGTCAAGTAGAGAAAAAAATGAAAGAAAAGAATAATTTCGAGTTATAGATATTGTTTTCAAAATGTTGGTTCAACACCAAGAACGAGGAAAGAAGAGAAAAACAATTTCTCAACATTTCTCATTTCAAGGGATCCTATTGAACGATTTGTTTCTGCATACATTATGATATGTCTGTAAGTTTAATCTTGATACTGTAATACTGTCAATTTTTACCTACCTAATATACCAAATAAAAGGCATAAGGCTTGAGATTTCTTTAGAAAATTCGGTAATTGTAATGAGGAGCAACGGGAGTCAGTACATCCATTCATCGATCAACTCTACAATGATTTCAATGGGAAATTCATGCCGACATGGAATGGAAAAAGAGGAGATTATGTTGCAAGACATCTAGGATTGCAATCTTGGTAAGGGAAGAAATTGGGGGGAATTTTAGAATCCAGTTTTCCCATTGTGTTCATAGTCAGCAGTAGAGTGTGTTCCCCGCAATCAATTAATTAATCGATTAATGCGCGAATAATGCGTTTTTTAAAACGCGCTCTCGCATTGGCCAACTATTCAGCTAAGTTAAATTAAGATATTGGGTTGCTGGATAAGTTCTGTCCGTTTTTTTGGGAGAGGATCTCAAACTCAATCAATTCCAACGTATAAGTGGCTCATTAGAAAGCTGAATTCAAAACGAATAAATTGATCAAAACAGTTTTTGAATTCATTTAATTTTGAACTTTTTACAGGCGTTTTAGTGAGCTCAGTCACGCATAAAAAAGTGTTATCAAACAAAAAAACTATCGAAATGCGATTTCGTCGCTTTTTTTGGCTCCAGATCATTTGCAGTAATCATTTGAAAAGAAACACTCTTAATTTTAGGTATTGCAGTCCCAAGCTTGGCAAAATGTTCAAGATGAATGATGGATTAGCGGATGAAATTGAAAGATTTCTTGTTGAACACGAAATAATTCTACCCATCGCAAGAACGGTATGTGAGAGGAGAAATGAGAAAAATAGCTATAAAGTTGAAATTTGGATTAGCTAAAAATCGTGTGATTTTACTGTGTGATCAGTTATGCAGTTACATAGTTTTTGCCAACAATTTTTCATAAATTCAGGCGACCGATCGTATCCGTTTCGATCATTTTTCATCGAATGAAATGCCAGAAGAATTTAAAGATTTACGAGATCATATCTTCTCAGAAATCCATTCAAATTGTTCTACTCTTCAAAAACTAACCCAAATCTATTTTTCTGATTTCATTGAATTGTCCTTTCCATTCCCGTATTTTCAACCAAAACCCTCAAATGCTCAAAACAATACAAACTCCAAATTTTTACCGAAAAATTATTTGTTTCGAAATGATTTCGCAAAATATGCTCATGAAGTATTGAAGCTACAATGAATCATTTTTGGTTGACCTACAGTGAATCTTTCAAAAGCTTTAATGTTATGGTCAATAAAAATTTTAATGGTTACAGTCTGTCGGGAATTTTTGGCAGCCACGTTTCACCTTATTTTTTTTTTAGATACTCGTTTGTTAGATCTTGGAAATTTTAAGAAACGATCCTTTTCCCAACAAGTGAACTTGTTTGAAATGCATTCCGGCGGACTTCCGAGGTAAAAAGTGTTGAATTCGCCGAAAGAAGGATTTTCTAAGCATTCCTAGATTTAAGCTATTAGGTTTTCCAAAAATCTTTTCTTTTCTTTTCGTACTTTCGTTTAAAAACAACAACCACACCAAAAACCATAGATTAATTGGTTAATGAATTTAAAACAACCATAGGCTAATTGGTGAATTTGTTATTTTTCAACGAGAGTATGAAAAGGAACGGAAAGAGTTTCTGGACAGCCTAATACCTATGCCTTATTTAAGATTAAAGGCTGAATCGTTGAAATATTCGATCATTTTGAACTTCCCAAGTTCATCGCCATTCTCGAGTCTGGGTCTCCCATTAGACTCTCCGTTGTTGGATTGAGCTTTTCCTTTCCACTCCTTTCCACCTCTTCTCCATTTTTCCCTTCAACTCAACTCGATTCGAATCCCCATCAACCAACTGGAAAATTTCCCCTTTCTTGTTTTCTCTCTTCACGCAAAAATGCAGTTTTTACCCTCTTTTATCCCTCAAGAAAAATAACGAACAACCCTTTTCGATTCCACATAATTATCTTCACCTTTTTCATTGAAAATGACAACTTTTTCGAAACACAAACATCAAACTCATTTTCACTCCATTCTACACTGAATTCAAAGCTTTTTAACTCTCTGTAGTTTTCTTCTTTTACAACAGTCGAAATTAGAGTGTATCTGCTTGGTAAAAACAGCTGTCTTGAAGAAATTGAGGGATTTCTTTCTCAATGGATTTTTCGATTAAACCTCTTGTCTTTTGCGTTTCCCTTGTCTCTTTCTTCCCTTGTCTCTTTCTAAAAATCGGGATTAGCACTTGTTTTTTAAGTAAATTTTAATATAAACATTAATAACTTAATTTGAAAGCTGAAGTTTTTAAATAAAATAAAAAATTTAGATGTTGTTTTGTACTTACTATTCATATCTTTAAATTACCAAAATAATTTTAGACAACATTTTGACAACAGACAACCGTCAACTGAATAGCTTTTTTATTTTTTCATTTCAACTATGAAGTGGTATACTCGATGTCTTTGTTTTTTGATTCCAGTTATGATTTTCGTTGGTACAACAATTGTGGTGAGTTGAGAAGAATAACTGAATAAAGGAAACCTATCTTCGTGTCAATAGATAAAAGATAGAGCACAAAAAGGTAGATATAACTAGGAAATTCTCACAATTTTTAGGTTGTTTTGTTTTTCAACAAAAGACGTCCTCTATTTGGCACTGTTTTTGAACAGGTTTCATTGAAATCATTTACAAAAGCTATTTTCTTTTTTTACTTTTCATTTAGTTACTCGAATGTTTAGAAATTGCTTTTGAAACGATTATGCTCAAATTTGAATGAATCTTGTTATCAAGTGATTGATCATATGCAAAGAAGGTTTGAGAAATGTTTTTAGCTGTGCTTTTAGCTGTTTGAATGATTAATCTATTTAGACGATTCCGAAATGAAACCTCAGCTGATCGATATTTGATTGAAGAGGGAACAGGAAGATTGATTTCTAATGTAATACTCAATGTCCCGAAAGGTACTCTAAATAATCACATTCAAGATACCTAAATAAGTTTTCAGAATTCTCATTGAACAGCTCAAATTTCCCAATTGAACCTCGAGATGCTCGATCTGATTTGTATGGATTAGTGTTGATGGCACCATTTCTATTCGGCTCTTTTCTACTACCGCCATTGTTATTTCAAAAAGTTTTATTTGAAATTTCTTGAAATTTAGGAGAGTGCGTAACGAATTTTTGGATCTTGGTGGTTCTTCATTGACTATGTTGGCCAGATCGAGATTTCCTTTTTTGGAGATAACTTTGGTGAATCGAGATGAAGCAAGAACGCAATTACTCGATAGGTAAGAGAAATTTCTCTTTACTATATTAGGCTCTCCAGCAAGTCTTTTGATTCCTTTTCGTACTTCCGTTTAAAACCCAACAAATGCGTCAATTGAACTACGGTTTGTTTCATTAGAAAGGTCAATTATTTTTCTGCGAAATAACATTAAAACGGGTTTAAAATGTCTTACGTCTGGATTTTTTGCGTCAAGTCGGAAGACGACTCGATGATGCGGTTTAGACACTCTTGGCTAAGGAAACCTATCTTCGTGTCAATAGATAAAAGATAGAGCACAAAAAGGTAGATATATAGCCAAATTTTCAGAGAAATTGATTTAGCCAATTTCTTGGTAGAGGTTTTTATAGATTTTTTACGAAAAACATGGTTTTCACTCTCGAATTTGCTTGAAAGTGAACCGAAGTTGACTGAAAAAGATGGGAAATTAAACATTAAACACTTAGAGCAAATCATAGGTGAATTGGTGAATTTGTTATTTTTCAACGGAAGTATGAAAAGAAATGAAAAGACTTTCTGGACAGCCTAAAAGAACTATCATTTGAAATCTTTAATTTTAGATGGTTTTATCAGCCGTATGATAACCGTACTTTGATTAAAGAAGCAAAAGGAATTGATTTTATACAAGAAGCCATCAAAGAAAGTCAGAATCAATCAAAATTAGCTTTGAAAAAGTGAAACTTTCAGAAAAACGATGGTCTTATATCTATACAGATGCTTATGAAATTGATCTGAACAAAGAAATGTCATCAAATGAACAAGGAATATATTCTAATTTGGGAAAAATTGTTCGACCAGGCGGTACACAAATGAAGCCTTGAAAATATCCCTTAATGATTTAGGATCAATTTCAATCAATATGCAAACATTATGTTTGGAGAAGGGTTTCGAAGCCGTCAGAAAAGTTTAGAAAGATTAGAAAATTAGGTTTCAGAGCTAATTTTTAGTTAACAAGTGAACTTCAACAGCATTTTAGTGGATGTTATATGATGGATGGACAACAATTCGTTGGTTTAAAGAGAGAATTGCAAAAAAATATGAAAACTTCAAAATAGATACCGTAAATACTGTAATAGTACCCCACCCCCCTCGTACAGTCGCGTGTAGTCGCAAAAGTTTTTTAGTATTTCATTTTTTTCAAAGCACCTGTACTTTCAAAAAATGCGTCTCTGGTATCAAAAAATAGCCCTGAATTTCAGCTATTTTTTGATACCTAAGCGCGCATTGTAGCATAAACCAGTGTTGAGAAAAACGCGTTCAAAGCTAGACTACGCAACACTCCGCACCGTCATTATGGGGGTGGGGTACTATTACGGTATTTACGGTAAGCAAATAAGGTGACTATTATTTAGACTGTAGTAGGAGGATTATTGTAATTCGCCTAAAAAGAGTTACCATTAAATATTGTTTAAATATCTTAATATTCAATTAATGGACAATTTTTTAAATGATTTTCATTTTATATGCCAGCTTTTTCTTATATTTTTCCATTTAGAGTGATCTAATAACAGTTTGTGTGAAACGAAAGATCCCATCAATTGATGTTTTAATGTCTCGATTGGAGACTTCAATTCGTGATATTCGCCTGAATCACATGAAGAAATTAAGAATTTTAAATGCAGACGGTAGCCTGTTTTTGTTTTGGAAAAAATGAGAATGTCAGTAAAATTTATTTTCCTATCCAAAACAAAAAAGCGCATATAAGACTCAATTTGGGAATTCGATTGTTTTGAGAATGATTACAGAGATTTCCCGAACAACACTCGATTTCACCGGTAACCAATTTTCTGCCATCAATCTTTCGTCTTTCAACTGTCTAGAGTTTTCAAGCATGAATTCTATTTTTGGATCAAATACTTACAGTACATAAAGGGGTTCGATCCTTTGAACATCCACAACGCCATGATGCAACCACAAGATCGTAGTCCTAAAAATTGTACTTCTTCAAAAAGATCACCCAAAGAAATCTACGAAAGGAACGATATGGTTAAAAAGTTCAACTTTAGATATTTTTAATATTAGGCTGTTCAGCAAGTCTTTTTGTTCCTTTTCGAATTCTGTTTAATTTTGTTGTAAACATTTTTGATACTTGAAACACCGTTTCCTTTTTTTCTTTGTCTTTGACTTTCATCCACCAACCTTTGCCACTGATTTGAGACAAAAATAACAACCAGGATCACAGGTTTGTACATTTACCTACAATTTTTTAATAAATTCCAAAATTTCAACTGATTGTGAATACCATTGTCGAGTGGAATATCTCAGTCTCATTATTAACACCAACGTAACACTGAAGACATAGAGTCAATGACAGGAGATTTAGAGCAATCAATATTTTCCAAAACATTTCGAGAAATCCATCAAATTTTGAAAATCAAAATGTGAAAAAAAATATTGAAAATTTTTCTTAAGTTGATCACCAAATGTTTGTTTTAGACCTTTTTGGGATGTGCAAATACCCCGAACTTTATTAGTTTTCTCGTGAAATGAGGCTCTTCATCTAGAATTTTGCATCAACCATTTGAAAACCCGGCACTTCGTTAATTAATTCTTAATTATTACACCAAAATGGTTGACGAATTGTTTATTCGACAAAAGAAAGCAACTAACATAGATAGGAAGCAAAAACGAAAGTCACTTTGCCCAAGTTGTTTTGTTTGTCGAGAAGTCGTCGATAAACATCATCGAATCGTCTTCTATCACCATCCATTTTCCTTCCTTTTCTTTGGATACAATATTCCCATAATTTGCTCCGCGGCATGATCAAATCGCAGGGTTTGTTCTAAAAAAAATTACTTGCGAATGCTAAAGTATTTAGGTACCCTTGGGTCCAATTTGAGGGCTGCTTATTACAGTGGCCACAACTTTTTGTATATCATCCTCTTTTTGCTTCCTTGTGCCATCTAAATAAAACTTTATGAACGTTAAAATTTTTGCTTAACCATTTTTGACAATCCAAGAAGCTTCATAAGTATTGAGGCGTGAGCGGAGAAGAGTTCCAATAACAAAAATCTTCTCTTCGAGTGTTTTCCACTTTGAAATCTCTTCTAAACAATGTATAAAGTCTTTAGACATATAGACAACCATGTATATAGATAGTGCAAATAAAATTGAGCTCGTAATTGTTGAAAAAGTTTACTAAAAGACCACGATATACCAAAACAAACCCGGATCGGTAAACATTTCAAACAATTTCCCAGTAAAGCGTTTGGCGTCTAAAATAAACAGATTTTAATATCAGAAAAAAGAGCTTACAATCATCTTTTTTGGAAGCATGATCTGCATTTGCGTGGAACAACTCGTATTCATCATTCAAATGATCAGCCAAATACTCTTTCAAATCAATTGGATGAGCATCTAAAAATATAATTGTACAATTTAACTCCATGATCATTTTTGTAAAATACGTAGAGAGATGACTGAATTTTCCAAAACTTTTAACTAGGAAAAAATAGGTACCTGAATATGGGCGAGTCATTTCCAATAATTTCCAAAATGTGTTATTTAACATTAGCATGTCTGCATCGGTGGGCGATACAGATTGACGCTTCCATAATGATGAGGGATTTTGTTCTTGGAGTTGATTCTAAATGAACACTTTAATTTAATGTCTAATGTGAATAGCTTTACCCATTTGGCTACAATTCGGTGTGATCGTTCAGCCAATGCAGTACTAAAACACATTTGTGATTGATATCTGATGGAATAAGTAAAAGTAAACATTACAAATACCGCATATTTAGTAAACCTTTACTTTAAACATAGCAGCTATATTTGCTCACCTTCTTACTCTTATCAAAAACATAAAGCTACTACATATTAAGTTCAATTTTAGGAAGCAAAATACTAATTATTAAACAAAAATAAATCTAAAGATTTCAATAAAATAAAAAATACCCGATCGAAAGTAGCAAAAGGAGTCGAAATACGGGAGAGCCTAACTAAAAAAAACAATATATATACTGGATAGTTCTTTACACAAAAGAATAATAAAAATGTTTCAAAACCCTGTCAAATCTTGAAATAGCAATGAAAATTGAAAACAAACCATTTATTGAAGAGTTGTCCACTTTCAAAACGAAATTCCAACGAAATGAAAATTTTGGCTCTCTGTTTCTTTTAAATAGGTCTTAAATGTGAATTTTGATCTAGCCATGCAAATTTAAGACATTCAAATTTGAAAGAATGATTTTTTTTAATCTAACGAATGAACCAGCTGAAAGGGGGTTTGGCTACTTCAACATTTCCTCAAATTATTGCGAAAAGATTATGCTTCCAGCTTTTTATTTTTGGTATTTTTTTTCACTTCTTCTATTGCACTCGACAATCTGCCACCGGGACGGTGTCATGTAATGCTTCATGAGTTCCTACAAGAGCACAGTGCAGGCTTGGCAGTATTAAAAATATTAAAAAGATATATGGGGAGGACTCACCTTCCGAAAGAGCGTGTCGAGTATGGTTTGCCAAGTTTTGATCTGGAGACAAATCTTTGAAAGATGCAGAGGGCCGTGGAGCGGCACCCCAACTGGATGATTCCAAATTAGTCGAACTCATTACCAACGACCATCGGGTATCATCGCGTGAATTGAAAGAAGAGTTAGGGATTGATCATGCTACAGTGCTAAGGCACCTTCATACCCTTGGATTTAAAACGAAACTTGGGGCTTGGGTGCCCCATGACCTCAATAACCCCCAGAAGTGGCAGTCTCGATCAGTGCCGTCCATCTCTCGCAATACAAAAGGAAATCTTTCCTTTCTCGAATTGTGATAGGAGATGAGAAATGGGTTTTATCTGTGAACTTTCGGAGGAAGCGGCAATGGGTGGGGCCAGGAGAGAAACCCGAAAGTGACCCTAAGCCCGATTTGCATCAGAAGAAGTTTATGCTCTGCGTTTTCTGGGATATGGAGGGAGTGGCGTACTCGGAGTTGCTGGATAGCAAGACGACCGTTAATGCAATCAAATACAGTGAACAGTTGGGAAAGGTGAGTGAATCCCTGAAGAAGAATAGACCCTCCAAGTCAAAGATCGTTCTCATCCACGACAACGTGCGCCCTCATGTTGCAAAACTGACTAGCTCTAAAATAAATAACCTTGTTTGGGAACTTTTGGCGCATTCCCCATACAGTCCGGACCTAGCCCCTTTTGATTACTATTTATTCCGGATCATGAGCTTGCTGGAGAACACTTCGATTCGGAAGAAGCAGTCAAAAATTGGCTTTCAAAGTTTTTTGATTCAAAACCAAAATCCTACCACGAAAGAGGAATCTGCAAATTGCCTGTAAAATGGGCAGAAGTCGTCAATAATAATGGAAATTATTTGGAATGAATTTATGGTTTTATTTTGAATAAATTTTAGTTCAAAGTCCTGCAGTTTTCAATTCACCAACCCAATATAATAGCTCCTCAAACATTTCTCGTAATTGCTCCTATTCATCCTCTTCTGTATGTTTCTATTCAAACTCTGTGCGTAAAGTGAAAGCTCTATTTTACGTGGTTTGATGCTCAAGATAAATAATAACATATAATTGGTTTCGTAGACGTTGTAGAAAGCATCAGGCTTTTTTAGTCTATAACTATTATTTAAAGCCTTTGGAATTCTTTAAAAAAATTGAGGATTTTGCTACCCGAGAGTTGATAAATCCAAAAAATGAAAAATTTCGTCTAAAGGGGCTCTTCAATTGGAATAAATATGGTATGTAGGTAAGTGGTAGTAAGAATCACAACAAAACTTTTCTGACATATTCCGATTCGCTCGATTTTTCTTTTAACAAGAAAATTTTCGTGCTTTTGGAAATACAGTGCACTAACGGGGACGCGTTTTTATTTGGGACACAAAGTGGATTCCACAAATAAATATATTACCATCCAAATCGTCGATTCCCTATTGCCTATAGAGCTTTTGTAAGAGACTTTTTGAAAGCACTTTTTATCTGGCTGCGCGTTTTGTTTTGATAGAAAAAATAATTTATTTTCATAAATAGTTCGAATTTGTAAACTAATGAGAGAAAATTTCGCAGAAAATCCCTTCTCGATTCGCTCCACAAAGCTCGGTTTCTTGCGTTGTGGCAAAAGAGAGAGAACCTGAAACAGTGACATGTAATGTATTGTCATGAAATGTAATTAATGAAACAGAATGCCTAGGTGTATTTTTGAGTTAAAATCTTAAAAGTTAAACTATTCTTTCAAATTGACTACCTTGCGAGCAAACAACAACAAATTTCTCTCCGAGTGCTTCTGCTGCCATTGCCAGAGCTGTCTTTGTGGCAGAAATGTCAGCAGTCATGTTCTAAATGGTTTATTTTTGGATCATAAGATCGCGATTCGAGCTATTTTTCATAATCGATCTCACTTGATTAAGAATATTTCTGAGTCGCGGGCTATTACAGAGAGAATCACTCGACGTTCCCGAGAGTTCGAGGAAGTCGGGTAAATCGACGGATCTGAAAAAGAAAAAGGACAAGAATTGAAAAGTTGATGTTTAATAATGTCTCCGTTTTACCTATATGTATTTAGAAATGTTTACCTTTTCTTTCTTCCACAACCTCCTCCACAGCCACCGCCACCACCACCACATGGAGGAGGAGGAGGAGCACAGGGCGGCGGTGGACACTGAAATTTATTTATGTATTCAGTAGTGGTTCAGTTTGACTTATCATAGATATTATTTAAGTTTTGATCTAACTAAAATCTTTAATACCGTATTTGTTCTGATAAAACTTACTCCACCACCTCCACCGCCACAACCACCACCTCCACCACCAAGATTCAGACATCCTTCAACTCCCACAACAACCATCAATCCAATTAATGACCAATGCATTTCTAAAAAATCACAATTAAAGTTGAAAAAAGGGAAGAAATTTTCTGGTTATTTCGGGGACAAGGACGGTGTTTTGAAAGTTCAAAAGTTTTACGATGAAAGTATGCAACACAAATTTCTTATAGAATTTAAACTTATAAAGAATGTGAGTCTATATTGAATGATTGCTCTTCGATACAGGTGAGGCTTTTGTATGAGTGAGATCCTCTCACCTACCTTCTCTCATTTCAATTAAAGTCTCATTTGAGCAATCATCTCTTTTTCTTTTTGTTCAATTCAAGACAAATCCAGTCCTCTTCACCTTTATGAAAACAATTGCCTACCACCCTTTTGACTAAAGTGGACAACACAGTCATCTCATTTCACACCACTTTGCCCACTTAATCCTTGAACATGAACTTTGAGAGGCTGGATATTCTGCCATACTCCCTATAATTTTCTGACACTTCTCAAAGCAACGAACCAGCTCATTCTTTTTTATTAGATATAAAAGAGATCCAGCTTCTCACCATTCTTTCACATTCATCTTCTCGTGAAAGAAAATTTCATTTCAGCGACTTGTTTGCATGAAATGACAAGTTCTATAAAGCTTTGAAGTAACAAACCTTTAGGCTTTTTGTCTTGTCCTTACTTTCAATAAAAAAGATCAGTGTTTTGCAATGCTTCATCCGATATATAAGTACCAACAACTTCTTTGCGGTACATTCGCTAATTTACATTTACAGTACATTACAGTGCATTCATCTAGCTTTGTTTTTTTGTTTAACAACTTCTAATAATAAATGCAACCTTTCAGAATGTATTCATCTCTTCCATTTTTGTCAATCATCATCTTGCTTTCAATCTCCCCAACCTCATATTCTCATCCATTCACTTTTGGGGATCTTTTCGGTCTTCATTTCCGACATCATCAACTACCATCTACCATGTCTTCGCTTTAAACGGTTATCTCTTTTCGAATAAATTTACTCAATTTTAAAATGCTGAACATAATAACAGAGATCTTATGGTACTACTAAATTAGAGTGTGTTCCTCGTGATTAATGCGCTTTCTAACGCATTAATCAAAAAGGCTTCAAAAAGGCTACCGTAGTTATGTAAACTTGTTTATATGCAAATTTAATTTTTCACTCATTATTTGCAGGTGTTTTTTCTCAGTAGTGCGAAGTATCCGCATCTTTTCTAACATTCTTGCTAAATATTTTTTCAGATTTAGATTTAGATCCGAGAAAATTCGCGGGATAAACTATTTACAGTCAGTAAATAGTTTATCTGTGATTATTTTATTTATAATAAAATAATCGCAATCGCAGTTTGTTTTTTGGACTAAAAGTTCACCTAAAATGAAAGTTATTCCATTGAAAATAAAGAGTAAAAGAAAGAAGCATAGAGAAAACGAAAGAAGAAGTAACAAGCATTGAGAAAAACTTCAAGTAATCTCTACTGCTAATGCGCGCAAAGTAATCTAATATTCTACACCAGCCACTAACAATCTTTTGCCTTTTAGACGGCGTTTTACATTTCAGAGAAACCATTCCAACCTCGAATCTAACCGTTTTGCATTCCGATGATCTTCAGTGCAATTCAGAAGATGTTCAACAAATCATCGAAAAGGTTTCAACTTATAAGAAAATAAATTTTTCATAATTCAAATAGCATAATTGTATACCGTTCATTTTCTTTCAATTTTCAGAATATCGGCTCCGAAGTGATTGTTTCAAAAGAGTCAATCTATCATGAATTATTCATGAGAATGGGTGGACGATGGACTGTAATTTGTCGAGAGATTCAAAACGATCAGGTAAAGATTTGAATAAAATGATGTCAATATTTTGGAAAAACAAATCCATTACAAAGAAATATTCAGTCTCTTCCCGTTTTTGCTACTCGAAGTCCGTTGTTCTGCTCAGGAAACAACTCAAAAGTTGCTTGTTTTGCTGCCGAATTTTAAAGAACAAAAGTTTATCTACCAAATAAATGCTTTTAACCTATAAATCAATTATTACAAAATCAATAATTAACGCATTTTCTTTGTGGTTGATTAGCGGCAAACCATTGCAATCTTTCGAGAGTCAACCCATAAACCTAAAAGTCATTTTTATGAGTAAATTGGACACTGAAAATTATTTTATTTGTATGTAAACTTTACAATAAGATAAAACCAAAAACCTGTTGATTAAGTGGATTGATGATTTGATTTCCTTGATCAGTCATATCCTCAAGAATGAAAACCTAGAAAGTTAGAGAACTGTGCCTTACATTATCATCACAATTTGGAAAAGTTTGCTTTTGTGTATTCTGTTCTATTTATTAACAAACCTCAGGGCAAAATTTGCGATTGAATGACTGAATAGCCATAGCTGTTGTGACTTTTCCTTTTGTTGTTGAATCGTATGGATCACCGACATTCACTGTTCCATAACCATGACTAAAAATATAGCTAAACCCTTGTAAAGCTGATTCCCTTACTCAAATAGATATTGTTGAACTTGAGTCTTCAGAGCGTCATTCTAAAAATATAAAAATATTCAAATATTTGAGATACATATTTGCATCCAGATTACCGTAATCGTTGCACTGAGAAGAACTTTTGATTGATCTTCTTTTGATAGCTTTGTTTTCCACAAATCTTTGAAATACTAGAAAATTTGGTTTTCTGTTGTTTCAAAACACTAACTCCCAAATAATCATAGAGTCCTTTCCATGAAAAGTATCCAGATATATCATATTTATAGTCAGGCCCATTCTCGTGATGAGCTAAAAGTAAAAGGTACTTTTCTGTCATCCGGAGGGGGATAAGCTTTTTGCTTTTTGAAGCTAATTAACAATTTTATAATAGCGCATTGGCAGGTGGAGGTTCACTTACCAGTGTAGACCAAGGAAATAGTGTAGCCTTAGATACCCAAAAAGAGGCTATTGGGTAA